GATTTGTTCAAATCAGGATCCAAAGAAAATCCACAACTTGCAACTGATATGTCTTTTAGTCAATGTTTAAAAAAAAAACAACCTATTTTTGGGGGCGCCTGGGTGACTCAGTTGGTTAAGCGTCAGACTCTTGGTTTCAGCTCAGGTCATGATCTCATGGTTCGTGAGTTCAAGCCCCATATTGGGCACTGTGCTGACAGTGTAGAGTCTGCTTGGGATTCTATCTCTTCCTCTCTCTCTGTCCCTACCCCCCAGAAGTAAATAAACAAACTTTAAAAAAAATTTTAAAGATTAAAAACTTATTTTTTAATAATCTTGTACTCACATAGAAATTGCAAAAATGATACAGAGCTCCTGTGTACCCTTCACCCAGCTTCCCCCAGTGACAATAACTTACATAACCATAATAATGATCACAACCAGGAAACTGACATTTAAAACTACAGACTTTATTTGGATTTTACCAAATATACTCATTTTTCTTTTCTTTCTTTCTTTTCTTTCTTTCTTTCTTTCTTTCTTTCTTTCTTTCTTTCTTTCTTTCTTTCTTTCTTTCTTTCTTTCTTTCCTTCTTTCTTTCCTTCCTTCTTCTTCTTCTTCCTCTCCTTCTTCTTCTTCTTTTTTTTTAGAGAGAGGTGGGGCGGAGGGCAACAGAGATAATCTTAAGCAGAAACATAAGAGTGTAGAGCCTACACAGAGCCCAATGCAGGGATCGAACTCATGAACTGTGAGATCATGACCTGAGCCAAAATCAAGAGTCACTTAACAGACTGAGACACTCAGGCACCCCAAATGCACTCATTTTTCATTTTTTCTTTTGTATATAGTTCTGTGAAATTGTATAACCTGTGACCTGTGACCCAGAGAAAGTCCCGTATACTATGTCTTTATAGTCACACTCTCCTCCCCAGCTCTAACTCCTGGCAACTACTGATATCTCTACCCTGAGTAGAGTGGGACACAACTTCCTGTGCAGGCTTTGTGGTAGGCTCTAGGAAAGGCTGAGCCTGGGACACTGGTGAACCCCTCCCCCAAAACACACATATATACTATCACCTCTCCTGGGAACAAACTGGAAACTACCCCAAGTTGTTGGAGGGTATGCACCTAGGGGAGGGAACAATGCCTGCCAGGGCCAAGCTGGGGGTCAGGTCAGAGGGCTGTGAAATTGTCCTAAGGCCCATATGCACACACTGCACCTCTCCCTCCAAGGGTGGGTGGGGAGCCTGGAGAGAGGAGTACCTTGGAGCACAACCAGGCTGTGTTTCTGCTGTGTTTCATACTGCCTGGGTCTCTGCCCTTGCTTTACAAGATCACAGTAAAAGAGGGTTTACAGGGAAAAGTGCAAACCCTCTTCTACACAAAGCCTGCTGGATGCTTGAAAGCCACACCCCACCCCCAACAAAGACTGGTCTCCTGCAGTTTACAAGGACTATTGCATTTGACCCTTGCAGCTCTTCTATTATTTTTGTTTTGTTGTTTCTATTTTACAGAAGGGGAAATAGACTCAGAGAGAATAAATGCATTGTCTGAAGTCACACAGAATTTTAATGGAAGTCCTTTTCAACCTTGTTCTCCCCTGTCACATTCCCTTGAAACTTGTCTTCCGCAAGCTAAAAGAGATCTAAGCTCAATCCCTCTTAACTGCCATGGAGGTATCCTTCACTTTTTTCTCCATATACAGGATGGAAGACTCGGAGGAGAAAGCCTGTCTTCTGGGCAGGGAGGGGCAGAAGCTGAAATAGAAACTTCTCCTTTGGAGAATGAGGGGAAGGTGGGCACTGTCAGGCTATAGGAGCCGCCAGATGCCTGGTGGGGAGAGCTACTGTCGCCCATTCTGGGGGATGTGTGGAAATGAGGGGGGGCTTTCTATAGGAGGGGCTAGGGAGTCCCCAGGAAAAGGTCACTCTGTATCTGAGGAGTCACTGGGTACAGACCTACAGGCCTGGGAGGGCAGGGGCGGGGTAAGGGGCAGGAAGTTGGTCCTGATAAGGGATTTGAAATGGTGTGGGTGGAACATACTCCTCTGGTACAAAATGAGGAAGTTGACTTTTCCAGACACACACAGAGAGGGGCAGAGACTTTCCCAGATACACACAGCAGGTGCCCAGGTCTGGACACAACACAGCTGCAACTTGGAGCTCTCATAGAAGAGTCTTGTGCCCAGGCTGTGCAGTGGAAGAGGGTACATCCTCAACTAAGTTCCTGATGGCTCCTGCCAAGCTTCAGAGACAGAGCCTTATTTCAACCACTTACACTCAGAACACAGTGGGATGGACCAGTGTCTGTCCCATAGGATTACAACATGCCATCAGAGAGGGTAGGAGTAACCCAAGGTCACAGCTAATATGTGGTAACAAGCCATGACCTTGTTCTCCAAGGTCTGGGTCTGGAAGGACAGTCTCTCTAGCCAAGACTGAAAGTCACTGGAAGGAGATACAGGTATTTGAGGAATCTGGGTTATCTCTGGCTTCTCCCAACCTTCTACCTGCCGCCCATCCCACCTTTCAGACTGTCAAGTTGTATTGAGACAGATGCCAGGGAGCTCTGAGGATGAGCTGGGAACTTCTGAACTTCCTTCAAAATGGATCTTTTCTATTCCCCACAACATAAGATTCTGTGCTTTTCACTCTTCACCAGGCAAACTCCTACCCATCCTATAAAACCCAGCTTGGAGGTACAGCAAATAACCATGTACAAAACCACAGAGGGAGTCACATCACATTCCAAAGAATCTTACAGACCATCATCTCCAACCACAATGCAATATAATTAGAAGTCAACAAGAAAAATATAAACCTCCCATAGGCTGAGAAACTAAAACCATACTTCTAAATCATCCATGAATTAAAGAGGAAATGACAATGAAATTTCGAAATATTTAGAACTGAATGATAAGGAAAACACAAACAGTTTCTATTTCCTTTGTGAAGTCCCAGGCCCTGGGCCCATGTGCCAAGCATTTATCTTCTGCTGCCTCTCCAGCCTCACTCTGCACCCTCCTCCTTCCAGCTTTAGGCCGTGGAAGGCCCACATTGCTCAATGGGCTGCAAAGAGGTTCCCTTGCCCAGGCTTTGGGTAGGATTTTCCCCTAGACCTTTGCACTATGATTGCTCTGTCCGTGGAGCTTATGCCAAATGCAGTCAGTAGCCTCCTCCTCATAGCTTCCACTTTTACCACTCCCTCCCAGCACCCCTGCAGCTAGGGGTGACCACTTCAGCCTAGGGTAGATAGTGAAGGGGTGTTCTTGATAGCCCTTCAGTGATATGCCATCCCTGTGGTTTTCCTACACCCTGAATACACCTCTAAATAGTGCTTTTTTTAAAAAAAATGTTTATGTATTTTTGAAGAAGAGAGAGACAGAGTGTGAGCCGGGGAGGGGCAGAGAGAGAGAGAGAGAGAGAGAGGGAGACACAGAACCTGAAACAGGCTCCAGGGTCTGAGCTGTCAGCACAGAACCTGATGTGGGGCTCAAACTCACGAACTGTGAGATCATGACCTGAGCTTAACTAAGTCAGACGCTTAACTAACTGAGCCACCTAGGTGCCCCTAAATAGTGATTTCTTTAAACTCTCATCAAAGTGACCAATTTGAGTGTTCCATGTGCTTCCTGCAGATAACCCTGCTCTCCACTCTTACAAAGGGCTCACCATCAGTCCATAACCATGTTCTCACTCCTGGATGACTGAGCTCTGCCTTGTGTTATCTCTGAGGATTGGACCTACTGCTGACTTGTCAGCACCTGAGGTCAGCCACTGAATCAGCTTCCTCACCTGATCCCTGGCTCTCAGTGCAAGTCATGCTCAGTAAAGGTATTGATTAGGATATCAAACAAATGAAAGAATAGTTTAGAATTCCTTCTGCATACACTACAGCATGCAATTGTTTGCTTACAGGGGATTTGGGGAAGAGCGAAGACTCAGACATCATAAAAAAAAAGAAAAAAAACTTCGAGCTAGGTAAAAATAGGTGCTTACAAAAGATGAATCCTCAGTTCTAGAAGCTGGGATCCTTAAGGATCCAGTCTGTTCTCATACCATCAAGCAAGCAGAAGATCCAGACACAAGAGGAGCCCAGTGATCTGTGCAATGGTAAATGCCTACCTCCTGATGCCAGCTCCTCCTCCCCCTCACCTCCTCATCTTCTGCACCCCTCCAGAGTGACCTCTGCCTTGGCCCTCCCACCTCAGAAGGCCTCCAACCTTCCCTCCCATCCCAGGACCGTCAGCCAACTGGTCTCTGGGCCTGGACCACAGCCGGTGTAGTGGTATGGGATATCTGTCTGCCTTCAGGGGAGGAACCTAAGCTGAAAAGTAGAGAGAGCAGATCAGGTCTTAAAGGTTTGGATTTGGTTGAAAGAAAGGAGGTAAAGAAGATATTTCAAACTGGGAAGAACTGGAACAAAGATCTTGTGGGGGGAAACGGGGTGACTTTGTGTGAGGAGTGAGGAGAATTTGCCCTAAGCAAAGCACTCAGGTGGAGGCGCCTGTCATCTGAGCATTCTTCAGGGCCAGTACTTTGAGTGCTGACTGGAAAGACTCAGCTGGTGTTTCCCAAAACATTCATTCACTCGGCAAATGGGCATTAATTAATTGCCTGCTATGTGCCAGGCACCATGCCAGAAACTGAGGGTACGGGAGTGGATAGAGCAGACCCGATCCTGATTGAGCTCAGGGACAAGTGGAACACAGACGATTCTAGGCGGGCAAGGAAACCACCATTACCTAGCAGCCCTTGTTTCTGCTCCACACAGAAGCTGGGCCTGTCCCCATTTTACAGTTGAGGAAGCGGAGGATGCCTTAGTGGCAGAAGTCCAAGGGGACTGGGCCAGGGCCAGCTGCTCAGTCCTTCGCCCAGCGGGAAGCTGGGAGCGTGATTCGGACTTCCCGGAAAGGCTGGAGCGCGTCTGTGCACTGGGAGGGGGTCCCCTTTCCCCGCCCTTTCCCCGCCCGGCGGCCGCGGCGCGGCTGGGCCAGGAGGGTGGGGGCGGAGCTGGCGTCGCCGCGGGGGCGGAGGGCGACCGCGGCCCGGCCGGGCTGGCAGGCCGGTGGACAGGCGAGAGAACCGGCCCAGCCGGAGGACCGGAGGAGGACGCGACCCAGCGCGTCGGGGATGTGACCCTGCGGCCAGAGAAGAGGACCGAGGCGGTCCCGTGAGTGAGCGCCGCGCCCCCGCCGCGCACACGGCCCAGCCTCGCTGCCACTTTCATTTCTTCCTTTCTCCCGACGTAGCCCCGACCGGAGGCGACCTCCGCCCCAAGGCAGGCTGGCCGCGGCGCTAGGTCCGGGGTCCGAGGCTCTGAGCTGTAAAAGTCGGGGTTGGGGGTGGCGGTGTTTGAGGGGGGCGTGTCTTCAGGAGCGGAAACGTCAGGCCTGCGCCTCTGGGTCCTAAGACAGGTCTGTCCCGGCAGCTGGGCGAGGAGGTCAGGGGTCCAGGGGGGAGGGCAGAGGTGGGCGAGGGTGACCAGGAGCGGTGGGAAAAACGTGGAGTCCCGCCTCTACCTTGCTCTTGGAGCTCTGCCCTCAGGGCGCCCCCGCACACTCATCCAACAGCCGTAGGCTGCATTTTGGGTTCAAACTGGGGCCAGCCTGTCCAAGATCCTGCGCCAGACCAGAGGAGCAGCAGGTGGCCCTGGCAGAGGGCTAAATGTCAGGAACAGGCAAGGCCATTCTGTGGGCTTCTTTTGGGAAGCCTACCCAGATGCCCACCCAGGGAGTGAGTCATCACTGGGTACTTTAGGAGTAAAAGAACACCCAGAGTTAGGAGCAGGACTGAGAGACCGAAATGGCCATGATTCAGGGAGGGGACAGAGGTCCTCTGAGGGTTGGGAACTCAGCAAGGGCATGGGAGTGGGAAGTGGTGAGACAGGGATGTGTATAGATCCCCCCCCCCCCTCCCCGACTCCTTCCTGAAGCTTACTTACATTTTCCTGGGGAAAGACCCAGGCCTTGAAATTCTACAGCCAGAAGATGGGAGTCTAGCTCCCTGGTCAGGTCACTCAGGTGCTGTGGGGGCAAGGGGGAGGTTCAGCATGTTGGGGGAACAGGAATTAGTTTCATCTGATTGGTGGGAACATCTCTCCCTCCACTCCACTCCACTCCACTCCACTCCACTCCACTCCACTCCTTTCTCTCCTTCCACTCCTCTCCTTTCCCTTTCCCTCCACCAGAACAGTGACCAGCCAGCACAAGAAAATGGTCCTTTACTCATTGTCATGGGTTGAGCCCCACCTTATCCCAGTTCCCAATTCAACCATTAGAGATGGTAACTTGCTTTGTGAATGGTGGCTCCTCAGAAACAGGACCTCTGTTTCCCCATCTGTGCAAGAAGTGGCTTGTTCAGTTGATTTCTCAGGGCTCTTTCAACTTTACAGTTCTTGATTCTAAGCTTTCCTTAAAGCCTGAGCATCAGCTATGTGTCATGACCTAGACTGGGGGAGTGGGGTGGGGATATGGGGGGGGGGGACACAACAATGGCCAAATGGCAGCTTCCACCCGAGGAGAAAGACATCTGGGTTTAGTAGAGGGGACTGTGGGTGGAGGTAGCATTCAACCTGGCCATGTGTAGTCAGAGAGACCAGTGTAAGAAAACACACAGAGGCAGGAGGGTGGGGGCAGGTTCAGGGATCAGGACAGGAAACAGACCTGGGTGGCTGGTGGAGGGAAGTGGGCAGGAAAGGTGGGGTGAGATGATGAATGGTCAAGTGGTAGTCTATTGGCAACTGTCAGTAAAGGGGGCTGGGCAAAGGAGGAGAGCCAGGAACCCCACCTAGTTGCAGTAGGAGCGATTTTGGAAGCACCTGCTACAAGCAGAGTTTAGAATGCAGGTGGCACGTGAAGGGGTGGAAATCTCCTCTGGGATCAGGAAGCTTAGGAGCCACACTGGGGACTCCTTTGAGTAGAAGTCAAGGATCAGGGAATGGGTGAGATGACTTTCTACATCTTCAGGGTTTTTTTTTTTTTTTTCTCAAGAAGCCAAGATCCTGCTGGGAGACCTGCCCCTCCTGTCCAAACCACCTGTCATTTACTTGACCATCCCCATCCTGGCCTGCCTGTTGTGGGTACAAGGAAGAATCCTCGTTCCAAACTTCTCCACTAGCCTGACCTGTTGCCTAACCTGACACCTCTCCCAAATGCCACCTTGTTTCTGTCCTCATTCCTGCATTCTGCCCAGCATTATTAGAGACGGAATAATAGAGAAAGGAAAGTGCGCTGTATCAGCTCTGAGGTTAAGGCAAGGTTTGTTTGTGGCTGTATTCAGCCTCCGTCTAGGGCTTGAGTCAGGATTCAGATTGACCAGGGTCAGGGCCAGGTCAGAGGTCAGCCCAGAGCCACAGCTCAGTGCTCAGCCTACACTCAGGTTTAGCCCTCGGTCTGTGCCTAAATTCCATTTTCAGTAGGTACCTGGGTCTGACTTTCCCAAGAGCTCGCACATGCACAGCGTAGGTGAGGTGACTACCATACCATTCCCAGAAACCTAGTCTGTATCTGAGTGACCCAGGATGTTGCATGGGTGAGATCCATGCCTGCTATGGGGGTCACCCAGCCAGGAGACTAGAACGCAGGACCCTTGCCTCCAAGCCTGCTGTTCCAAAGTCTGTTCTGAGTCTGGGATGCCTCCGTTTAAGAGGCAAAACAAATGTGTCTGAATTCTAGATAGGCCCAGCTGCATAGATCTGATAGCATTCCCTGCTTTCCAGTGCTAGGCACGTAGTAGGTGCTCACCGAACTTGTACTGTCAGGTGCAGGAGGAGGGGCCGGTAACGTGTTCAGGTTTGGGGCTGGAGGAGGCTGGCTTAGTAGGGAAGGATTTCTAGCCACTGTTGGAGGAAGTGGTACCCATCTGGACCTGCCACCTCCCCCTCTCCTCCAGTGCCTGCAGCCACACTCCAGCTGGCCACATGAGGTCCCTTTCCTTTTTTGGGGGGAATAAAAGGAAAGTACATTTTTGGTAGAAAAGTCCCGCTGCTCCCTGGGAATCCCCGGTGGCCGGATGGACTACGGGATATCCCAGAGGAAGCTGAAGGCGGGGCCTTGCCCCTGCCCCAACCCCCAGCACAATGCAGCCAGCCTCTCCCATGCTGCACCAGCTGGTCCACAGGGCGTCCCTGAGGTCATCTCATCCAGGCCTCTGCCTCCTGGCTGGCCTGCAGGAAGCCTCTGCCACCTCTCTAATGGTCAACAGTAAGTCTGATGAGCACCTGTTGGGAGCCCAGGCCCAGACCTCTGTGAGATGCAGTGAAAGGGGAGAGATAACACAATGAGATGGGCGGGCTGTGGGCGATTGGTAGGGGGAGTAAGGGTAGCTTGGAAATGGGGCAGCGGCCCTGGGCCTAGGGAATGAGGAGGATTTAGACTCCAGGCAGAGGCTGAGTTTGGCCAAAAGCTGAGAGTGAGAGGGAAATGATGTGTTTGGGGGTCAAAGCCCTTTTGGTGCGGACCTCACCACCATTCTCCCCCTGTGCCCTTGGCCCTGGCAGGGCATCCACAGGTCCTGTCCCTGGACACCTGGCCTTCAGCCCAGCCTGACTATGGCGCTGTGCCTGAAGCAGGTGTTCGCCAAGGACAAGACATTCCGGCCTCGGAAGCGCTTCGAGCCAGGCACACAGCGCTTCGAGCTGTATAAGAAGGCGCAGGCATCACTTAAGTCGGGCCTGGACCTGCGCACTGTGGTGAGGCTGCCGCCGGGAGAGAACATAGACGACTGGATCGCTGTGCACGTGGTGGACTTCTTCAATCGCATCAACCTCATCTATGGCACCATGGCTGAGCGCTGCAGCGAGACCAGCTGCCCGGTCATGGCCGGAGGGCCCCGCTATGAGTACCGCTGGCAGGACGAGCGCCAGTACAGGCGGCCCGCCAAGCTCTCGGCGCCCCGCTACATGGCCTTGCTCATGGACTGGATTGAGGGCCTCATCAATGACGAAGATGTCTTTCCCACTCGTGTTGGTGAGTGCCACCTGGCATGCAAATCAGGCCTGGCCAGGGAGGGAGAGAGCCACCAAGGCCATTCTACAGATGAGGCATTTAGTTTGACATAGCAAATTCTGTAAGAGGTGGGGGAAGGGGGCATGATTTTCATCCCTATTTTGTAGAAAAGGAAACCGAGCCTCAGAGAGATTAAGTGTCTGTTCAAAATCAGGCATCTTGACCTAGGACTGCCTGATTCTGTTTGGGGCCCTTCTTGCCTGAGGCCTAAGTGCCCTTCCAGGAACCACCTTGGCAAGACCACTATGATTCTCAGAACCTTCTAGAACAGATGTCTGTAGGTGCTCCCAACAGGTCACCCTGTCTGGGCTGACTGACTTGCTATCTCCTGGGAGTTGCCTCTGACTCCCGCTCCAGGAAAGGGAAGGGGGTGGGGATTTGGAAGGCCAGACTGTGTCTCCACCTCAGGGGGCTCTGAGGGCAGAATGTTCCCTTGTCAGGTCCAAGCCATGGGCCTTTTCTTATCTCAGCTGTGCAGCCTGGGCCCATGAGGGTGGGGAGAGGAGATGAGTGAAGTCACACAGGCCCTGCTTCCCCACCCAAGGGCAGCAAGAGCCAGTGTAGGCCCAGGAGCTGAGCAGGCATGACACTGTATTCATCACAGCAGCCCCACCCCCACCTGGCCTCCCATTTAAGGCTGTAGGAACCAGAGATGGGTTGGGCAAGGTGGTCAAGCCCAGAGGGAAGATGTCTGAATACTGAGAGAGGCTGGGCACTGAGTCACGATAGGTGCTCACAGCCCCTCCCCAGCTTGGGGCCTGCCATTTCCTGCACTATCATGCCCAACAGTGGGCATCTGCACTTCGCACGGGAGGAACTGAGGCCAACAGTGGCAGTGCAGTGAATCAGGAGGGATTCAGAAGTGCAGCTCAGGTCTCCTGAGACCCAGGGCCCCAAGTCTAGATGGGTAGGACAAGTCTGAGGAATATGGGCTGGACTTAGAAGGGCTCATAGAGAGGCAGGGCTTAACCCCACCTGAGAGCAGTGAAGACCAGTATGGAGCAGGGTGGACCAGTGTGGGCCTGCATCTGGGCTCTTATTCTCTTCTAGCCTCTTCTGACTCAGGCCTGTGAGCCCCAGGTGTCTGTACCTTAACCCTCAGGATGTCTCTGCCTCAGCAGAGAAGGCAGCATAGCCACCAAATCTCTACCCTGAGTGTGGCCACCAAGGTCTCTACCCTGAGTGTGAGGGGCTGTGCAGAAATTGGGCCTTTTTCACAGGTACCAGGGCTTCTCTCAGGCAGGGGCTGTGGCATTTATCTTTGCGGGTTGCGGCAGTACAGTGCCAACAGCATTTGAATCCTGCCTTCAGTCTGTACTAATCAAGAAGTATGGCCTTGGGCAAGTGGCTTCACTGTCGTGCATCACCATCACACACTTCTACTTTATCATATCTATAAGGGCTATGATACCCATATCATATGAAGCAAAAGGTGTGGAAGGCCCAGCACAGAACTTGGCTCAAAGATGGAAGCTTCTTTGTAAGCGTTATTGAATAGTTGAAGGAATGAGAGATACCTGAACTAGTTCTTGAGGATTTTGTAATTCTCAGGACTGGGGATCTGGAGCCTGCTGTGTGAATGTTATGAAAAGGAGGGGGTTGGGGTGAGGCTGGAGAATAAGGTCAGGATCAGATCATGGAAGGCCTTGAGCAGACACCATGCTATGAAATTAGAACTTAATCCCAAAGACCGATGTTTTTAAAAATGGAAACTAGATGTTGATAAACTCGCTTTGGAATTCACCCAAATGTCACAGGACAACACCTGCAGATGCATGTATTTCTGTGAAGAATTTGAGTATAACTTTCATCATAACCAAAGAAGGGTTGGTCAGTGACCCCAGCATGGTTGCAGAGTCCTGTTCAGGGCGACAGAAAAATCTGGGAGATGATTTGTATTTCAGCAAGGGAAGGGCACAGTGAGATTTGTACTTTGTTTAAAAGGGAAGTGGGGAGAAAGAGGACCATGGTCTCTCTCTGTCCCCAACAGGGAAGTGGCTGTCCTAGGCCTGTGATGGGGAGGGCAGGGTTGGGCAGGGTTTCATTACCAGGATAGTGATCCCCCCACTTCTGCCCATCCACAACCCCTAGGAGTTCCTTTCCCCAAGAACTTCCAGCAGGTCTGCACCAAGATCCTGACCCGCCTCTTCCGTGTCTTTGTCCACGTCTACATCCACCACTTTGACAGCATCCTCAGCATGGGGGCCGAGGCACACGTCAACACCTGCTATAAACACTTCTACTATTTCATCCGTGAGTTCAGCCTCGTAGACCAGCGGGAGCTAGAGCCATTGGTAAGGCCCCTGTTGCCCTCCCCAACAAAGGCTAGCCTTGGAATTTTCCAATCCAAAGGCTACCTACTTCAAGAAAATGCAATACCCAAGTGGATGGATTAGGGGAAGGCAATTCGTTTAGCAGTAGATTCTGTTCCTTAATAGAGAATTCATTCAAGACTCAGTTTACAGACTCAGGTCTATAGCCTGGAGTTGGGATTGGGGGCAGGAAGGGGCCAGGTTCAGGCAGAAGAAGAGCCAGGCCCTATGGTTTGGGAAGGGGTTGCCTGGTAGGTTGAGCTCTGACTGATCCCTTTCCGTCTTATGTCTCTACAGAGGGAGATGACAGAGCGGATCTGTCACTGAGCCCAGGCCTGGAGTTGTTGCCTGTCAGATGGACCATGTGAACACAGAGTGGCTGGGGAGAGGACCCTCAGAAGTCTGGTAGCAGAGAAATCTGAAGTGCCTGGGGCCCCTCCACACACACAGAGCCCCTGAACTTGTGGTTCTCAGGAGTCTGCCCACATGCTCCTTGACTGCTGATGAATGGAGAAGGGGAGAGCTTAAAAATGGATGAACAGAAGGGAAAAAGGAACTACATCTCCACATGAAGTCTAGGGGTGGGATTGGCTACATTTCTTCTCCAATACTCTTCCATGGTGGTTCCCTTCCCTCTTTGGGGAATGTGGATGTGGTTGAGTGATAGCAAGAAAGGTACTAGAGACTGAGCAAGCTGTGTGAGTAAACAGAGACGACTCTGCGTGTGTGTGAGTATATGTGTGTGTGTATGTGGTTTTCACCGTGGAGTGTGTCTGTAAGAACTAGCTGCTTTAGACCCACCCTGGAACGTAGTAGGCCCTCCATAAATGTTAGGTAAATGGATGAATGGAAGGAAGAAGGAAATAAATAGGGATTGGGACCACCAGACCATGACCACCATAGGAGTGATGACAGGTCAGTCTCCCGACTCTGACTGTGTGTATAAGTGCACAAAATGTGATTGTAGATGTAGCTCTATATTTGAACCTTCAGGCTACCATCTTCCGTAAGCATGAGTTCTGGAGAGCTATAGGGAGTTGAGTAGGGGGTCTTGCCCTGGATACCTATACCCCTGGCCCACCACAGACACACATTCTGATTTGCTCAGCCAAAGATGCCTAGGAACTGTCATTTCACTCATCCCTCTGCCTCAGGAAAGCCTGATTATAGATAGCCTCTTGAGGCTGGGGGTGATCCCTCATATCCACAAAGGTCCTCTGGTCCTTAAACTGGAAATCATACACTCCAATATAGCTCCCAGAGTCTATAGACTTGGCTCTCAGGATCTGAAGCCCAGCACAAAAATAATCCTCCAACCCAAGGAGCCAGTGGAACTTGCATTGGGGAACTCCAGAGTCTTTTCTCCCATCCAAGGACACTGAAGATGTGTTGCTAGTGAATGGACTCTTCTAGGCTTGGAAAACCCCCATCCTACAAGGACCTGCCTCCTTCCCAACCATCCCTGAGACATTCCAGCTGGTTGGATAGCTGTCCACAGAGAACCTGTTGATTTGACACTCCATTACTCGACACCACCATGCCCAGCCCTGTGCCCAGATCCACAGGTGGGGAAACTGAGGTAGAGGGAGGGCCCTCCCCTCCAAGAGCCTCTACCCTGGGAGGCCAGGATGGAGAGCCAGGAAGGGCCTGAGGATTATTCTGAGAATCATCTGTGTACCTAGGAGGAAATGGAAGCCCAGAGGAAAGGAGGGAGAAACTGTCCAAGGCCTGGCAGCAAGGCTTTTGTGGAGCTGAAGTAGAAACCAGAGGTCCTGACTGCCACCTCAGGGCCTGTGGACTGCTACATAGGGAGGTGAGACGCATGTGGAAAGGTGGTCTGACAGCCCCTCTCTAGGGCACAACTGTTCCTGCCTTGAGCAAGGACTTCTAGTGAATTCCAGAGTACTCCACTGCCTCTCAGGTCAGCTGGGGCTGTCTGCTGAGCCAAGCCTCCAAAATCATGCCCTTCTCAGTGGCCCAGCAGCTGCCTGATCTCTGGGGAAGCGTGTGAGGCTCCTGGGGCCAGCCAGCTGGACCTGGGACCGCTGCCTCTGGAGAAGTTCCCAAGGGAAACACTGACCCAGCTGCTTTGCTGGATGCTCTGGGCTGGGGTAGGATCCAGGGACCAGAGACTCCCTCAAGGAGGACTGAGAACTGGAAGATGGGTTCTAAGCCGTGGCCAGTGCTGACTGCAGAGGGGGTGGGGAGACGGGAAATCTATTTTTGTGAAACAGAGGGAAGACTTTATTATTGTTATTTTTTGGTAAAATAAAGGAGGCAAACTAAAGCAGCACTGGTGGGAAGCTGTGGTCTGGATGCCACATGGCTCCTGGGCAGGCTGTGGAAGGAACTGGGCCAAAATGGGGAAGGGAAGGCTCTTTGTCCTGAGATCCCAGGCCATGTGGAGGGCTGACTGGTGTGGTCATGTGTGGCCTAGATCTCTAGGGTGGAGACACTGAGGTTTTCCCAGGGCTCTGGGAATTCTGGACCCAAAACTTCTGGCCTCATCTAGGACTCTGAGAGTCAAGAGGGCCAGCTTTTGACTTTGGAGAATTCAGTCTCTTGGGGTCTTTCCTTGTTTCTGCTCAGGTTCCCTGGCATGGCCATTCTCAACCCACCCCTTAATCTGTGTGGTTTATTGGAGCTAATGGGTTAAGGGACGGGGCAGAAATACAGTTCTAACCCCAATCATAGCAGAGGAAGCCCTTCTCAAGAAAAGGCTGTTTGTTGGGTGCTAGACAGAGCTCCAAGTTGGGGTGGCAAGACATGGGTAGACTCCTGAGCTTATTCCCTAGGAGACAATTTGCTTAGGTCTTGCTGCCATTCCACTGTCCCTCACCCACCAGCTGCCCACACAAGAGCAGAAAACAGCTTGTTCTTAAGAGTTAGCAAAGGGCTACCTAGTGCTCTTTCCTCTCCCTAAGAAGGAGACAGCCTGGCTTTGTGCAGTGGTTCTCCTGGGAGGCAGAGGCCTACAGTCCAGACCCAGCCCAGCCCCTGAGGTACAGTGGCGGGCCTCTTTTCCCCTCTAGACCTTGATTTCCCAGTCTGTTTCATGACTAGGTGTGGGCATAAGGGACTGACTTATCTCTGAGATCCTTCATTACTCACAGTCTGTGGATCCTTCACAATCATAACAGCTAATACCATGTGTTGGGTACAATTCTAAGTGCTTAACACGTAGTAGCTTACCAAATCAAGTTTGTCTTTGGTTAGCTGCCTGGCTCCCTTCCTGATGCCCAGTGTCCCTGCTTTCACTGCTCCAGGATCTGGAGGCCCAGCCCAGCATTCTAAAAGGTAGCTTTGCTTGTACACTTCCTGTGACCCACTACCTCCTCAGTGACTAAATAGCTCAGACTCTTCTAAAAGTTCAGGCTCTGGGCCCATAGTTATTTTGAAATACACCATGGCAGAGAAGGTAAATTTATCTCAGAACTGTGTGGCTAAGGCCTACACTTTACATGGGAATGACTGAATACATCAGGAAGACATCATAAAACTACTTTGAGAAATTCAGACAGGGATGCTCAGAGAAGACAGGACAGAGGTAGAGAGAAAGGAAGGTACAGAAGAGAGAGCTGGTGTCTTAGCAAGACGGGAAACAGCCTCCCACCCCCACCCCACAGGGCAAAACTTGGCAGGAACAGGTCCTGAGAGATGCATGTGCCGGGGGTAGAGGGGCAGTTTGTTGGCAGCCACTGCAGAAGACTTTGTTGTTCTGTTGTTCTGTTTGTTCAAGATCCATAAAAATACTTAGAGCAGGAAATGAGAAAGCGAGCCACTCTCTGCATCTTGGGGCAGAGCATCCACCTTTGAGTAAAGGATGCCCCACCACCCTGGCCCTGAAGAACACTGGAGCTGCTTCTTTGAAGTTTCTGCTGCCATTCCCCCCACCCAGGAACCTGTATGTAGTGTGTGGTGAAGGGAGCCACAGTATGGCTGGAGCTCCACCTGTTTGGGGGGAGCCCTCCTGGAGCCCTTCCTTCTCTGAGCCCCCCAGAGCCCTCATCTGATATATATTTTTTTAAATGTTTATTTTTGAGACAGAGAGAGACAGCATGAGCGGGGAAGGGGTAGAGAGAGAGGGAGACACAGAATCTGAAGCAGGTTCCAGGCTCTGAGCTGTCAACACGGAGCCTGATGCGGGGCTTGAACTCACGAACCACGAGATCATGACCTGAGCCGAAGTCGGACGCTTAACCGACTGAGCCACCCAGGCGCCCCGCCCTCATCTGATATTAACTGAACTTGGTCACCATGTACAGAGACATAGCAGTTTTGAGAACCTGGATTGGAACATAGGCCTGAGCAACTTAGGACCAGCTGGCTGTTTAGATATTCAGGGAACAGAGATAGGAACAGGCCAGCATGGCCTCTGAGGACATGAAGCTTGAGTGAGCCTGGAAGGTGATGGGTGGGAGAGGTCAGGACATACAGGGCCTTCAGGTTCGACTGAGGGATTCTGTAAGTGACCCAACACAGAAGCCTGGGAGAAGATTCCCCTCTCCAGCCTTCACACAGACTGGGAATTCTAGCAAAGCCCTGAATGTGCTCTCACGTTCTAGACCTTCTTCCATCATATAGGTGAGAACACTGAGCTCCAAAGTGGAAAGGAACAAACATTTGTCAGGATGGCGGGAGATGGAAGTCTAAGAGGCTCTTAACTAGCAGTGCTCATCAGACTCACACAACCATCATGAGACAGGGAAGGGATGTTTATACTTTCGTTTCACCAAGGGGGAAACACATTTAGAGTCAGGACCTGATTTAAACCCAAGTCAGCACTCTCCTTCCCTCATTACATTTGCAGCCTGGGGAAGGGCTGAGGGTTGAAATATCAATTTAAATGCACTTGGTTTTCTCCAAGAAACTAACTTAAAAAATTTTTAATGTTTATTTATTTTGGGGGCGGAGGGGGGGTGGCAGAGAGTGATGGAGACACAGAATCCTAAGCAGGCTCCAGGCTCTGAGCTGTCAGGGGACAGGGTATCAAACTCACAAGCGGTGAGATCATGACTTGAGCCCAAGTCAGACGCTTAACTAAATGAGCCACCAAGGCTCCCCTCCAAGACATTAACTTTTAAGTGTTCCATTTTGAATTCCTGGGGGTAATGCTTTACTCAAGGAAACTCTCACAAACGTCTTAAATTTTACAGAATTAGCCCTCGTTTTAGAAAAGACTGGGAGCATTTCCCCACATGAAATAGGCACTTTAAAAATTGCATCCTGGTACAGGGAAGCTCCCGGTAAGTGTTGATTACACCAGCCGCTGCCTGGCCGCGTCGCTCCTGGCGCTTGGGTGACTTCCCGACCTTCACTCCAAAAAAAAAAAAAAAAAAGTCAAAGGAGCTAAGCCCCACCCCCAGGCCCAGCAATCCCCACGCCCCTCTCCCTCTCGTCTTCCCAGTTTACTTAGCTCGCTCCCACCCTTTCCCGGGGGTAGCCATCAGGGCGCACGCGCAGCTCCGCCCCTCTCTGGTCCGGCCCGCCCCTCGACTCTAGCACCGCCTCTTCCGCGTTCTCGGAGCGACCTGCAGGTGTGTGCGCGCGACCGGTCCCGCAGAGAGTCAGCGGAGGTAAAGGCGACCCAGTGAGGTATCCCTCGGAGCAAAACGGGGCGGGGGGCGTCTGTGAAGGAGTCGGTGTGCCCGGGACAGGGCAGACAGGGCCTTCCGAGCGGCCCGCGGTCACGAACCGATCGTGCTGTGAAGGGAATGTTGAAGGGGACGCTTGTTTAGGGCTCTCCTCAGGGACCCCGTCTGGGACCTGGCGGTGTTCCGTCAGGGGCGAGCTCAGGACGCAGCGTGTGTCCCCGTTCGGGTCTCAGCCAGTGCCTGAGGTCGAGATTAGGTTGTGACAGGTGTCTGAGGTCGGAGCTCAGGCAGCGGCCAGTTTGAAACTCAGCCCCAACCATGCTGTATGACTGGGCTCAAAGCGCAGGCAGTCCCCCATCACGAAATAGATTTTCATGTGAGGAGTTTAATGATCTGTGTGTCCTATCTTATTTTAAAGTGAACTGTTTTCATCTAAAAGCTCTTGACATGTGTGGGTCGCTGTACAGTGAGGAGAAATGATGTCAGGAGTAATCTCTTTCTAAGGAGTTTCCAGGCTACCCGTCAGGTGGTCAGTAGCAGATCAGAGCCCAGCGCAGGTGACACGAGTGAGCTGTTGGAAGTGCTTGACTTTGGGTTAGGGAGTCCTGGGTTCACATTTCACACCTGCCACTTCCTAGCTGTGTGTTCTTGGGTCATTTCCCCTCCCAGAGCTGTGGTTTCTCTTGTATGAAAAGGGCATCGTAGGGCCATTGTGAAGGTTTACTAAGATTACATGTGTCACCCAGGATGGCACCTGTCACAGAATGGGTGCTGAGTACATGGTAGCTGTGATTTCTAGGAACGAGGTCATTTTGGAGGGGAGAATGTTAGAGAGGCCCCATGGGAAGAGTTGAGGAGACCTAGGTCTTGAAGCCTCAGTGGACTTTATAGATGGAACTGACCTTGTAGGATGGGAAGGGAACTGATGCTTATTGACCATGGCTCACATGCCAAGCAGCGCCCCGGGCAGTGGATGTATATTGTGTACTGTCTCACTGGGTCCTCAGTCACCTGCCTGCTGCTTTCAGCCCCACTACTCTTTGCTTCAGCCGCTCTGAAAAGGGCTAGGCTGGAAGTGATGTAAAGAGGAGGCTCGGGGTTGGATGTTCATATGGAGCCAGACCAGTTCAAGACTTTGGTGTCCCCTTCCCCAGTTTCTCCCACCTCAGCTCTTGCCTTTGTGTGATCCCAGAGTTAATTGCGTTCTTGACTTTGGGGAGCTGGTTACTCTAGTGCTGTAGCAGATTTGATGGTTAGAGGTCCTGGCAAGAGAGCACGTCTTAAACTTAGATTGCATGAAGCTGAACCATGGCAGATAGAAGTTCTGTGAACAGGACCTGTTGGATTCCAGCACATGCTTAGGAAGTGCGTGTGGCCTCCTGTTATATGGTCCCATAGTAATCTAGTAATGTGGTTCCTTTTACCTCCTCTTCATGGGTGCCCATGTGATCTTCCTAAGATGGTGTTCTCATCATATTATGTCTCTGCTCAGAAACCTTGGCAGGCTTCATTGCCTACTGTATAGAGTCTGGACTCCTCAGCTGCATAGACAACCCTCCCCGCCTAATCTGTTCCCAAGTCTGTCTCCTGCCCTGTTTTCCTGTGTTCTCCCAAAACTATACCCATGTCTCAATCAAAACCAGCTAGTTTTTGTTCCTTAGACACTCCCTGCATTTTTCTTTGCTTGTACTCTCTTCCTGGCATTCCCTCCTCCTTTCTTGTCTTTCAAGGTCTGTCTCATGTGACCTTCTCACTGAAACCTCTCTGTTCCCCTTGCTGGATTAGATGCCCCCCCTTCCCAACTTCTATAGCAGGGGCTGAACCTCAAATATAGCTCTAGTTACTGTCTACATTGGGGTATATCACCCCATGTGTACTATGAGTACACTGGTAGTAAGGGACCATGTCTGTTTCATCCCTCCTCTTCCTGACACATAGTAGGCCTTTGCAGTGTTTGTGGTTGAGTGAGTCATTGAGATTTTTTATGTATTTGCTTTGGTCTTTGTTTTATGAGCTTTAGGTTCAGAGTGGGCCTTTGTGTTTTGCGTTTTCTTTGTGCTAAGGAGAGCCCTTGTTTTGACTGATGATGTCCTAATTTACAGGCATCAAAGGCAAGAAAGTGCAGGAATTCTGTACAAGGCAGGATACTTCATTGATTATTGTTCTCTTGCCTTTGCTGTGAGTTTTGTTGGAAGGGAGGTGGTGCTCTGTTCAAGGACCTGAACTGAGTGTGATATAGATCATGCAGGGGAAAGCTCACAGGTGGTTTATTAATCTGTTGGCCTTGGCATTGGCCTGGCCCTTTCCATCTGGAAACCAGCAGCTACAAATTCACATTTTCCCTTGCCAACAGCTTCAGCACATGGAACAGAAAACTCCTTGATGATCATAGAAAAATACACATCATTGAAGGTAGAGGAGTTTGAGAACCATCTGTTTCTACCTCTGATTTTATGGATGGGGAGAGGCCCCAAGAGGGGAAGGGCTTGATCAACACTGCACAAGGAATCAGTCAGTGACAGAGATAGTACTAAAAGCGAAATTCCTGACTCTGTTTTTTTTCATTCCACTGAACTTAATATAATATCTAACATTTATTGAGCACTTACTATTTGGTAAATACTATTTTAATGCTTTGTATGTAACACCTTAAAACTCTGTTTATACACTTGGATACTGAGGCAGATGAAAATCATTCAGATTTAGTTTCTGATTCCACAACTCTGGTTTTTAATATGGTGGGGATGGCAGTCCTCTCCTAACCAGTGGAGTGGAATGGTTCTCTACAGAGCTTTCTGGCAGATCACCCTACCTCTGTGAGTGACAGATATTCTCCCAGCAATGTGTCCCTATAACCTGGGGAGATGTTTTTAGAGGAATCCAGAGTGTGTTGAAAGAATAGATGAAAAAAGTGAAGGAAGCCAATGAATATTAGTTTATCATGTTTATCAAGTAAGGTAGTAAATGCAAAGTTTTAGAATAAACTCAGTCCAAGATCTTTCTGTAAAGATTCCCAGTCAAGGATGGCAAGATTCAATTCAATGAACACATATTGAACTTTTTCTATGTACAAAACCCTGGTACTGAGAAATATACACAGAGGAAAACAACACATTTCCTGCCCTTCTGCAAGTAATTGTCTTCTCAGAGCCTTCTCCCACAAGTGTAGTTGGGAAGATAGATAAGTACATAAATAACTGAAATCAGGCTGACTGTGGTAAATGTAGTAAGGAAGGTAAACAAAGTGGGAGTTTGGGAAAAGGAGAAATCAATCCCAACACGACCAAAGGGGATCTAGAGGATTCCTGAAGGTGGAAATTTATGCTGGGCTTTGGAACAAGTTCATTTCTATGAGAAGCAATATGTTAGGTGCTTTACACACTATAATTTATTTAATCCTCACAATCTCATAATGTGGGGATATTTGTCCCCAATTTAAAGACGAAGAAGCCGGACCTCAGAATGATTAAAGTGACTTGCCCAAGGTCAGGTAGCTAGTAAGTGGCAGAGCTTGTCCAAACCTATGAGTGTTGAATTTCAAACACCTATGTTCTTTCCATTATGCTGCAAGGCTCCTAATGCCATGACTAGGGTTCTGTTTACTCTGGCTGCATAATGGAGGGTAGTCTAGAGCAGAGAAGGTCCCGGAAGGAGGACATCAGTGAGGAGGCTGTTGGAATAGTCCAGTTCAGGTTTAAACTGTGAACCACCTGCCTAATATGGAAGCTGCCTGTTCCAGGTCTGCTTGATTGTTCAATGCGTGGGCATTTTTAGCAGCTGCTGTAGCATCATAAACCAAGCATATTGCCGTTCTTTGTGAGTAGAATTTCAGAATCAGTTTAGAGAGGCTGCTGGCACCCTTACGTTTTAGGCATAGGTTCTAATGTAAGATTAGCAGGTGATTACAGAAGTGTCTGGGGAAGAAACCCATTTGGTGGATACTGTTCCTTCATTTTCTCACCCTTACATTCAACAAAGAATCTGTAGTGGAGGAAAGAGAACTACACTTAGTCACTAGGCTGGTCCTAGTTATGCTCATTATCATCTGTGAGGCCTTGATCTTGGCTTCTTCCTCTGTAATATTGGATCTGTTTGGGTTCACTTCTGAGATCTCTTCTCTTGCTAGTGTCACGTGTTGCTTTGCTCTTCCTGGTTTGAGGTAGTATAAACAAGCGGCTGAACTGGGACACCTGGGTGGCTCAGTCGGTTAGACGTCTGACTCTTGATTTCAGCTCAGGTCATGATCTCACAGTTTGTGAGATTGAGACCCACACTGGGCTCTGAGCTGACAGCAGGAAGCCTGCTTCGATTCTCTCTCTCTCTCTCTCTCTCTCTCTCTCTCTGTCTGTCTCTGCACCTCCCCTCTCCCGTCTCATAATAAATAAACTTTAAAAGAAGTGGCTGAGAATATGCACATGGATTCCAAGAGATTAGGTTTAAATCCCTGCCTCTAATGCTGCTTCTAGATTGACAGTAGCCAGGTGTATAGACTCCAGAGTTGGACTGGCTAGGTTTGAGTCTGAGCTCTACTGTTTGCTAGCTGTGTGACTGGAGTAAGTTATTGAACCTTCCTGGTTCTCAGTTTCTTCATCTGTAAATTGGGGATACAAATATTACCCATCTCTTAGGGTTGCTATGAGGATTGAGGTAACTCATCTCAAACACTTAGCACAGTGCCCAGCACATAGTAGGTGCTCCATGAATGTCAGCTTTAATACCAATCATATTAACAATTATTATTGATGTCTAGTTAGCTATTCTTTTTATAGAAAGTATTTTTATTAGGGCCATTTTCCCTGCTGTCTGACTCTGACATTGTTGCCTTCTCTTTCTTTCCATTGCCTCATCAGGAAACTTTGAAATAATAGACTGTTCTACCACAGAGTTGCAAAGTGTAAAGACAGAAAGTGCCTATAGGAAAGAGTCAGGTAAAAGTCAGTGGCTCATTAGAAAATCTTACCTGACTTGTGTTTTCACCCACTTCTTTCCACAGTAAACAGGAACAGAGCAGCATACTTATTCCCTTTTGCACAGCCTTCAACAAAAGTGCTGAGGAAGACCCCTCCACCTCGCTTGCTGAGAAGTACAATAACCGTGTCTCTGGAAAAGTGGTACGTAATTTGGTTCTTCTTTCTCTCCAGTTTAAACCCCTTTGACCTTAACTTAAGCCATTTCATCTTGTTCCATTTTCCATAAATATGGAAAATTTCCTTCTGATTTTAAAGGCAAGATGAGATCAAGATTTTCTCATGAGAACCTTTTGTGTACTTAAAGCCAGAATCGAGTTAGGCCTCCTCTTCTCTTCTTGAGGCTAAGCAGCCTTGGTTTAAAACCTATTTTCCGTTGCTTGGATCACATTGGTCATGCTTTTTTCTTTTTTTCAGTTTTTCTATTTCTTGGCAGTGACCCAGACTGCTTAGTTTGCTAATAAAAGTCCAAATATAACAGTTTATGGGAAGGATAACTTCAGGTGTTTTCATTCACTCGTGAACATTTATTGAGTGTTTGCCCCATGCCAGGTCCTGTGCTGGGTGTAGGGTACCCAGAGAGGAATCAGACATAGTCTTCACCCTGTCCCTAGCTCACAGTCTAAGGGGAGGTGTGGGGAGGTGTATGATTCAATGTTACAGATGCTGTGATTCGATTATGCACAAGTGTGGAGGGCTGGAATTTGTTGAGGGCCATTAGGTAGAAACAGATCATCCATTTTGCCTGGACTGTAGGGTCAAGATTTCTATACGGGAGTGATAGGGCATAATGCAGAAAGCGTAGTCTGAAGCAAGGCTGTGGAGGCCCTGAGTGACAGCACAGGAGCTTAGTTATTCCAGCGGCAGTGGACACCCATTAGATGTTTTGGAGCAAGGAAGTAACAGACTCAAATTTGGGGTTTTGGACCAAGGACAGAGATACCACAAGCTTTAGTCTTATCGGTCCTCCATGGATGTTTTCATATTACTTGAAAGTAATATGATGGATCCCTTGTTTGTAGAATGTTTTTTTTTGCTCTAAAACTTCTATAGAAAAACTGGTTCTTAACTTGGGAAAAATTTCATTCCCCATGCAGGCAGGAAGTTTGTGAGGAATTGAGAGAGAATTGGTGCCCAGCCTATATAAGACCCAGTGGCAGGTTGATGTGTGTAGGTATGGTCTGACCACATTCATTTTTTCCCAGCCCTATCCCAGGCAGAGGTCCAGGAAGGAGGAGAGGGCTCCAGAGCTCATCAGGGTATTTGATAAGCCATGCTGAGAAGATTCAGGCAGTGTGAGAGTCAAAAGTTCTTTCTGAGGAGGAAAAGAGGTCCAGAGGAATTTGAAATGGTGTCAGAAGGAATCAGGGCTAACCAGACCCTTAGAATCCTGGGTCATGAATCTGAAAACCTCCAAATTCTATCTCTCTGCCTTTGCACTTTGCTATCAGTTTATTCCTTCTGGCAGCCCAGTTGTGGTTTACAGAGTGCTGTCCAGGGACACAGCTAATCTGGAGAAGCCATATCTCAAGCTAGAGTCATAACTGTAGCATTTATGGAGTGCCTACTCTATGCCAGCCATTGTGCCATGAACTTGAAACATGAACTCATTTAATTCTCACAACAAGCCTGTGACGTAGGTATTCCTGCCCCTGCTTTATAGATGATGACAGTGAAGCAGAAAGGTTAAGTATTATTTTTCCAAGGCAGCCTCATTAGTAAATGAGGAAGCCAGAATATGAATCTAGGCCCTAATGGCTTGAAAGCCCATGTACTTTCTGCCTCCCCAGCCCTTGAGTAGTTCCAGACAGCAGAATAACACAAAATCCATAAAGGAATTGTTTTTTACTATAAGCCTGCTAGAGGTGGAAATGAACAGAGGTGTGTTTGTGTACATGTGTGTATTGGAGGGAGGGGAAATAAACTGGGTTGGCAAACTCTGGCCTACACATCATATCTGGTTCACCACCTGTTTTGTATGGACTAAAGAATACTTCTTGCATTTTTAAATGGTTGGGGAAAAAATTCAAGAGAAGATTAATATTTGTGATGGGAAAATTATATAAAATCCAAATTTCAGCATCCATAAGTAAGGCTTCGCAGAATAGAGCCACAGTTGTTTATTTACATATCGTCTGTGGCTGCTTTCACTCTACAAAGGCAAAATTCAGTAGTCACAACAAAGACCATGTGACCCAGAAAGCCTAAAATATTTACTATCTGGTTCTTTGTAGAAAAAAATTGGTGGGTCGCTTGGGTGGTTTAGTTGGTTAAGCATCCAACTTCACCTCAGGTCATCATCTTATAGTTCATGAGTTCAAGCCCCGCTTCTGGCTTTATGCTGACAGCTCCGGGCCTGGAGCCTGCTTTAGATTCTGTGTCTTCCTCTTGCTTTCTGCCCCTCTTCTACTTGTGTGTGAGTGAGCATGCGCTCTCTCTCTCTCTCTCTCTCTCTCTTCCCACTCTCAAAAATAAATAAACATTTTTTTAAAAATTGGCCAACTCCTACTATAGGCAGCAAGAAGCAACCAATGGCAAGACTCAAGGCAAAGATTTGAAGTTCAGAGGTGGTCAAGGTTGTCCCCGGAGGTGTGGCCATAAGGAGAGAGTATAACCCAAGCTTCTTTGGGCCCTGGAAATAATTTCATTAGGCCACAGAGATTTGTTGGGGAATAAAAAGTATAATAGGAAGGATAATTGTATGTGCCAGCATTGTCTATTGGACAGTAAAGAAATATTTTATGTATGAAGTAACTTAGATATTTACTAGAGCCCTTTTTGTGTGCCAGATACTCTGTTAGATACTAGAAATACAAAGATGAAAAGGGATGTCCCTGCCTTTGAGGAGCTTATAGCCTAGTGGGCAAACCACAAATGCATGTCAATAGCCAACTCTGTATTCTCAGAGCATGCTGTGGATTTGATGAAATGCTTGATGAAGTAGAAAATAGCCAGGGACTGCTATACTTTGTAAAAACACTTTCAGTAATTTGTGAGGGGCCCTGAAGGATGAATAGGTCTTCTTTTCAAGAAGCAACGTACTAGGCTGAAGGAGAGTCTGACCATGTGAGTATTCGGAACAAGGAGGTTAGAGGAGGAAGAGACATTGGAAATGATTTAGAAACATTCTGTGGCTGGGCAGCTGGCAGGGTGAGATAATCTGATAGAGAAGAAGGGAGAAGAGGAAGGATGGGGGTTGGGACAAGTCCAGTTTGGGACACGTGATTTGAGGTAATGGTGAAACATCCGGCTTCCAGTTCAAAAACCGTTTTAGAAATGTTAGCATGGGGGCCCAGAAATCAGATTTAAACTGCATGGTCAGAGATGGCCAACAGACACATGAAACGATGCTCAGCATCCCTCTGCATCAGGGAAATACAAATCAAAACCACACTGAGATACCACCTCACGCCAGTCAGAGTGGCTAAAGTGAGCAAATCAGAGAACTCTAGATGCTGGCGAGGATGTGGAGAAATGGGCCCCCTCCTGCACTGTTGGTGGGAATGTAAACTGGTACAGCCCCTTTGGAAAACAGCGTGGAGGTTCCTCAGGAAACTAACAATAGAACTCCCCTATGACCCAGCAATAGCACTGCTAGGAATTTACCCAAGGGATACAGAAATGCTGATGCATAGGAGCACATGGACCCCAATGTTCATAGCAGCACTCTCCACAATAGCTAAAACATGGAAAGAGACTAAGTGTCCATCATCGGACGAATGGATCAAAAAGATGTGGTTTATCTACACCATGGAATACTACATGGCAATGAGAAACAATGAAATCTGGCCATGTGTAGCAACACGGATGGACCTTGAGGGTGTTATGCTGAGTGAAATAAGTCAGGCAGAGAAGGACAAATATCATATGTTTGCACGTATAGGAGGATTAGGAGGAACTTGACGGAGGAACAAGGGGGAGAAGAAGGGCGGAAATGGTGGGGGAAAGGGAGAGAGGCAAACCATGAGAGACTCTTGAATGCTGACAAAAACTGAGGACTGATGGATGTGGGGGGGAGGGGGGATGGGCATGGAGGAGGGCACTTGTGGGGAAGAGCACTGAGTGTTATGTGGAAACTAATTTGACAATAAACTATTTGTAAAAAAAAAAATAAACTGCATGGTCAGAGCTTTTCCACTGGGAAAAAGGGAAGTAGAGACTCATTTTGTAGAGCTTTGACACAGGATAGAGCCGCCAGTTTGAAAATAGCAGTGGGCATGTAGAAAATGACATCAGATGGAAAACTAGCAGTAATTATGCACTGAGCACAAAACCTTCCTCGTGTTTGTACCACCTGCTGCTCTCTGCATCCACTCATCTTTCTGGCTTCACTGCCTTCTGCCTGTGAGACCTAGACCTGGCCATTAAGAGATAGAGCCAGAACTCATTCATCCCTAACAATATGGGCGACAGAGAAGTGTCAGCTTTTACCTTCTGCGAGACGCTGCTCGGCAAACAGAGCTGTCCAGAGCTGTCATCCAGGCCCAGGTCTGGACCCCCACAGTGGAAACAGAATATGAAAACTTTTACTCAGACCCTTGCTAAATCTCCAAATGCTCCGTGTCCACACTTTCAAATGCTCAAATGTCTAATTTTAAAGATGAGAAATTTGTGACGGCCTTGTCTATATCCACTTACTGGTATAACACATAGGTTTGGGGAACATGTAGGGTGATCTTTATCTTCTTTAGTCATTGTAAAGAAGTCAGACATTTATATCTTTTCTGTTTCTGCTTTTTTAAGGATTTTCATGCCAGATGAAGCAAAAGCTAGTGGAGAACTGAAGAATGTGTGCTACCTCCAGAGGCTTTTGAAACGCTGCAGTAGCTGGAAGACGGCAGCCCTCTGTCAGGGGCCTTATTTCATTATTTCATCTCAGTTTACAGAGGATTTACTTCTCAGAAGCTGGGCAAGGTAAGATGGATGCACATTTCACTTAACCTTTCAGATTGCCTCGGGTTGAAATTACCTGATACTTCCAGAGGGAAGGGTGGGTCAGAGATTTTGGTATTTAGTGAGCAGCTAGCATTAACTGGACTGCCTGGCATGCCTCAGACAGTTACTTAGGCGGGACGAACACATTTCTGCCGGAATACAATGGCAGAGAAAGTCACAAGAAAAACCACGCAGTGAGTAAAACATATTTATTTGCTTTTAATTATAAAAGTAAAACAACCATACCATAAATAACAAAATCAAATAAAACAGAGATATGAAAAGTAAAGTTCTGTACCCACCTAATTTCATTTCTCAAAGTAACCATTGTTAATAATGGCTTGAGATGTAACTTTTTGTTTTTACGGTATACTATTTGTGACATATATTATGGTATTTTGAAGTGCTCTTTTTTTGTTATTGTTAATGTTTTATTTACTTTTGAGAGAGAGAGTGTGCCAGCAGGGGAGGGGCAGAGAGAGAGGGAGACAGGATCTGAAGCAGGCTCTGCGCTGAGAGCAGTGAATCCAATGTGGAGCTCGAACTCACAAACTGTGAGATCACGTCCTGAGCCAAAGTCAGACGCTCAACCAACTGAGCCACCCAGGTGCCCCTGAAGTGTTCTTAAATACCTGAGGCTTCATCATGCCTGGCAGGTTATAAATAATGCCTTCGTTGTAGATTGGGTCAGATGAGGGTTGGCTGAGCATAGTTTTAGTCTGATCTGTGAGCTTTTCTGCTCCTTTGCTGCTCTGTATCACCCTTCCTTACTGAAGCTTCCCAGTGGCCTCCCCCCATTCCCAACCAGCTTCCCTTCCTGAATTCTCCCCTTCTTTGGTGGTACCACCGCTCTTAGGGTTACCTGACTTTAGTTAATAAACATAGCTTCATAAACATACACTGAGGTTCTTCAGAGGGTAGTCATCTTTGACTCCTCCACCATCTCCAGTCGCTTGGCAGGACTAGGACCAGTTCTGCCTGCGCGGCTTCACCCCCTCGCCTCTTTCTCCATCTGTCCCCGCCTCGGTCACAGGCCTTCCTTGCCCACCTGCCTGCTGCAGCAGCCTCTCACCGCTCTCCCAGTCCCTGTCCAGCCTCCAGTCTGTTCTGCGTATCACAGCCACTTTCATGGCCCAGTCCCTCCCCACTGTTCACAAGTGTGCTCTGCTGACCTTGGGGGTTCTTTGAAACCTTTTCAGGGTATCTACAAGATCAAAACTATCTTCAGAATAGCACTAAGATGTTATTTGTGGTTACAAAGCAACAGTGGGTAGAACTGCTAGTGCCTGAGCATGAGTCCAGGCAGCAGTACGAAGTGTGCTAGCAGCCTCTGTATTCCTCATTGCTACACTCCCAGCTTTTTACAAAATGCCATTTAGTGAATCTCAGCTCTTGAGTACACATCTTTTTAATATTCCGGGTGACAGAATGGAAACGCCCACCAAGCACTTCCATGCCTGCTGACATACAGGGGTTGTCTCAAGGCAAAGCGCCTTTGGGATTGTTTACATTACAAGCTGAACTCTTCATTTTTACTTGAAAGAAGGACTGTGGCTTGGTGGGGCTGCAAGGTAGATAGGGACCTTGGAGGGTCTTGCTGGCCACGTTAATAAGCCTGTGTGATCTGACTTCAGCCTGCTCTTTTCAGCTTTTTATACTACCCTGCTCACACAAATCCAGTCCTTTACTCCTGCTTGCTTTTTCTAAAGCACATACTCCCTTTACCTGCTCTGCCCTTCCTTTGATCATTTCTTCCACCAGGAGATGCAGTGAGAGATCTGAACATTGCTTGTGATCCCAGAGTCAGAACAGAGGAGGAAGATGGGTCTGACTCCAGACCCTTTGCCTCTGGAAATCTTGCTGTCACAGTCCTGTTGGGTGCCTGTTGTGAATGACCACCCTGCTGGCACCCTGGGAGGCCTCACACTGCCCACTTCCACAGCAGTTGAATGAGAATCCGCGGTCTGCCTACTGCTGGCCAGCCTTGCAGCACACAGCACTCTTGGGGAAAACCTGTGAAATACCCTAGCCCCTTGGAATCACACTCCCAAACTGTCATCCAAGTGAGCTGATTTCACAGGTGGCTCTTTTCATCTGTCATGCGTTAAATTTGACTAGCTTCTGTTGGAGTGTACTTTTTCCTTGACCTTGTCTCCTATGTAGTAATGATCTATCAGAAACGAAATCAACCAACTAATAGGTCAGGTGGAAGAACGTAGCCTTGTACCTGATACCCGAACTGCCATGACATAATGTGGTTGGACTGGTTTGTAGCTCATTCTCCATAATATGCCAAAGTACAAAATACAAGGTTATCTCCAAGTAAGACAGAGAAACTTCTGATAAATCATATTTCAGATTAATGTAAGCATGTGGTGATAATGCCTTTGTATTTATGTAAGCTACAGCAGGGCTGCCCAGCCTTTTTGACATCAGAGCACACACAGAAAATGATATTGTTCAGCTCGGTGAGGGGATCAATACCTTATTCACAGCCCATCAGTAGGGAAGCTCTGTGCTAAGGTTTCTAAATAAAAGCATTTTTGTTGATGCCTGGCTAACTCTGACTGGCTACCCCTCCTGCCTTTCAGCATTAATGTTTAAATGTAATATTAATAATATTTAATATATGAAGTAATATTAAATATACTTATAATAATGTAATAGTTAAAAGCTTGAATTTTAAGCCAGTCTATCTAGATTTAGATCCTCGCTCTTCCACTTACTTAGCTTTGTGACAATGGGCAAATTAATTACTTAATCTCTTTGTAGCCCAATTTCTTCATCTGTAAAATGTAGATAATAATTATGCTTATTTCCTAGAAGTTGTGAAGATGAAATAAGTTAGGATATGTTAAATGTGGTGTTTGTAAAATGCTTGGGACGTTGCCTGGTATATGAAGAGCACCATGTGAGTGTGCGTGCAGCCACTAGTCATTGTGTGTGCAGTGGCTGCGAGTACTACTCCTTCAGGGACGCCGGTGTTCTGGGCTCCGGCTCCCCAGACCCATCCTTGCTGCCTCCTCCTTGGCCTCACATTTGTCAGTCTTGGCTCTTCCTTAAGAGTGTTCACCCCCTTCCTTTCATTTCCTCAAGTCTCCATTGTTTGGGGGCCTCCACCAGCTGGTGACTGCGAAGGCATCACTACGAATAACTGTACTTATCACCTTGTTCTCACCATTGTTCCTTCTCTGGAAAGCCCCTGTGACTGAAGGAAATAACTCTTACAGGGTGGGAAGAGGAGTGAACCAGAGACTCTGAAGAGAACCTTGAGTACTTGGGAGAGGAGCGTGAGCTAAATTTGCCGGGCTGAGTTAACCAGCAAAGTTGTGTTCTCAGGGGAGAAATGATCTTCTTTGGTATCACATAGTAGATGCAGGAGTTGGTCAGTTCTCTGAAGGTTCTGTCAAATCATGGAGAACCGATATGGTGATTTGGGGGACAGTGTGGCTCATAAGACTTTTTGGAGAAATGACAGTTCTTTCAGAGGCAGGCCTTGGAGTCACCTATGGGGAGAATGGAGATGATGAGTCCTTGCCTGTCAGGAACATCTGTTGCTATTGCAGTCTCACCTGGGTGAAACGCCTCAGCCCTTCCTCAGCTGCTCCGGGAGTTCTGATTCATGCTGACCGGCCATGATGCTTCTCTTCAGGCTTAGCACATTCTCTTTCTCGGTCTCTCTCCCCAGATCCCACCCTGGCCAGTTCCCACTCATCCCTCAGATGTCGGTTTAGCTATTCCTTCCTCTGGTTGCCAAGCTGAGTTTTATATCTATCTTCTGCTCCATGGCACCTGCTACTTCCTGTCACAAAGCACCTGTCCCACTCTATTGAAATTGTTTTGTACGTCAGTGGACTTAAAGTCCTAAGGGCAGAGACCGTGTCTTCTCTTGTATTCTCACTGGCTAGCACTGGACAGTCTGTAGGTACCCAGTAAATACGGTATTTGCTGAACGAGTAAGACAGCAGTGCTCTCACATCGTGTCTTCTTTGACCTTCACACAGCCTGGTGGTATGGGCAGCCTGGGCCTTACTCTGACCTCTTCTGGTACGTGAGGAAACGGATACTTAGTGAAGCCAAGCAAACTGCCAAGCGCACACAGAGCTGGACGGCCAGGATTGAGACTGATATCTCACAGGCTCAAATGCTCATTGCATCATATTGTCATACTGACTTTTACAGAATTTTTCCTTTTAAAAAAATTAGCATTTAAAGAAGATAAAAATTAAAATAGTATTCTATGTTGTTTTCCAGTATTAGAAAGAATAACATCTTCAGGGCACCAATATTCCTGAAATGTTTTTTCCTCACTGAATGTTGAATTTCAATACAGAGAAATCTACATATGGTTTTAAATATTCTATAATCAGATTCCAAATTGAAATGTGTGTCAGAGAAAACTTATTGTGTATTTTATTGAAAATAAAGCTTGGCTAAAACAATAAGAGCATTAAAAAGTAATACGCATCATTATATATAATTTAGAGAATGCTGAAAAATGTAAAGCAGAAAATAAAAATCACCCCATCACACAGAGAAAACTACTATATAGATTAGAAACGTCCTGGACTCGAAAGGTGGCACTGAGTTTGAACCCGTTAAACCACTCACAGATGTTTGATGTTTGGTAGATTGTTTAACCTCTGAGCCTCAGTTTCCTCACCTGAAATAATGGCGAAATATTTACCTTGCGGGATTATTGTAAGAATTAGAATTATTGTAATGTATGTAAAATACCTAGCATCATGCCTGGCACATACTACGTACCTTTTCAAATTGTGGAAGTGTTAACATTTTTGTGTATTTGTGTCTGATACTTCTACACACATGTGCACACAGTATGTCATTGGGTCATCACTGGCTTGCTGGAAAGGGCAGGTATTATTTTAAAACCTATCCCATTGATGAGGAGACTGAGGCTCTAAAAGGCAGAGTAGCTTGGCATAGCCTTGGTATGTCTGGTAATCTCTGAGCCAGGACCCTCACCTTGGTCTCCTGATGCCAAGCTCACGTCCTTCCCTGTCAACAGTGCGCGTCTCCTCCAGCTCCACCTCTACCAGTACGCAAATGGCAGACCACCAAGCTCTGACCAATGGCAAGGTAGGGGCTAGAGGCAGTGGAAGTACTTGGAGCCTACCCACAAGCTGGAGTCTGAAAACTTAAAGGAAATACTCACTTTCTTCTCTAAAATAACACACACGCTGCCCAATCCTATAGCAGATACCAGACTTCTGGCTACAAAGGCAAGAACCTCCTGGGTCATGGAGGTTTTTCTCACAGGGAGTTTGTCAGAGAACTCATAGAATGGAACAGCCTGACGCTGCATTGTCTGTAGGGCAGAGGTGTGCTCACATTTCTTTTAGCGTGTGTCCTGGTTACTTAAAGGGCCTGGGTGACATGCATGCACCTGACACTAAGAGTGTGCATCATTTCGTATCATTTCACTTCAGAGCACATTTTCTGATAGCTGATAGGTATCTGACGCTGTGCCGCAGATGATGAACAGGCAATAGTCGTGGCCTTTAGGAGCACTGGGGAGAGCTCAAGGCTGTCAGTGCTCAGCACCAAATGCTGTCAGTGCTCTCGTAGAACTTCTAGCAGGGTGTTTGGGAGCAGAGGAGGAGCACTATTAGTTCTGTGCAGTAATACGATCTGTTTGCCTGGTGCCTGATATCCAAAGTGTTTGTACAAACTGAGCTCATTCAAAGGAGCACAGGCTTCTGAGCCGGGTTTTGGTGGCTGAGAGGATGTTGGGGGCCAAGGGAAGGAGGTGAGCCAGGGACCAGCGTGATTGTGGAGCCTTACACCATGAGGAAGCTTTCATTTAATGATTGCACCATTAATAAATTAAGGACCACAGCCCCTGCTAGTGGGCTGTGACAAAATAGAGTTTATGGACAGGCTCCAGATGGGGACCTATCAACCCCTTGATAAGATTAGGACACCTCCTCCCTCCCTGTATAAACAGGGAAGTTAAACATGTTTTGTTTTGTTTTGTTTTTTTACTTCACTGTCTTCCTACATTTTTTTTTTCTTCCTAGTTTCAAAAACAACTCTCCTTCAACAAGTTCTGTTTCCAAGGAAAGTGTTAACCATTTGTCCCTTCTGGCGTACCCTCTTCCATTGAAATCCATGCAGAATAGTCCAGGTACTCTATCTTTGTGTGTGTGAAGCCATAAAATCTAATATTGAGTATGCAGCAGTGCTCAGAGGTATGATTCTTCCACAAGAGGCTCCCTCAGCCCTGCTGTGGTAAAAACCAAGTGTAAATTGCCGCGAACAGGGTTTTCTAGCTAGAGTCGTAAGTATGTGTGAGCATCCCCTGTGAATTATAATGCTGCCAGCTCTCTTGCTGCTCCTCTGCATTGCCTGCCTTTCGGCTGTTTTGCTTGTCTGCAGGCCCTCCATCAGAGTGCAGGCAGGGGAAGGAGAAAGAAGTGAATCCAAAGTCGGGCCGCTCTGCGCTTGCCTCGCAGCACTGATGAGAACATGGATGGGGACAAGAACTGACACTGGACTGCACACGAGGGCAGGGCGAGAGGGACAGCAGTCCCTCCTCCTCAGCCTGCTGTTGCCAAGGCCAGTGCCCCTCCCTGGGCTCCTGAAGAGCCCCCTATGTTTTATTTCTGTAGCATTTCTCACTGTGTTGGGCAGCTTTTTCCCTTTCATTTACCTTGGGGAGGGTGGATATTGGGTACTGTGCTGATTCAAGTTGGATTCTTTGAATTCATAGCTAGTTGCAGTCCCCAGATTTATCTTGTGCTTGAAGCTATTGGCCAGAGTACTATTTTGAGATCCTCTATGGACTCCTTTTATCCATGTGTTTATCTCTTCTCTAAAGAATCATTGGGGGCACCTGGTGGCTGAGTCATTTGAGTGTCTGACTTCAGCTCAGGTCATGATCTCACAGTTCCTGAGTTCAAGCCCCTATTGGGCTTGGTGCTGTCAGTGCAGAGCCTGCTTTGGATCCTCTGTCCCCTTCTCTCTACCCTGCCCTGCTTGCCCTCTCTCTCTCTCTCAAAAATAAATAAACATTAAAAAAATTTTTTTAAATAAAGTATAATTGAAAATCTGCTGTCATCAGATCCAAAAACGGGAGGAAGAATTCACTCAAACTGGGCTATCAGACACTCGGCTGCCTAACCGTGCTTTCTGGGCTGTCGTGTCGACAAGTGCCATCGCTCTGCTTCCTCTTAATGGCTGTTGTGCCCCTGCTTCTGAGAACAGTGTATAGATGTACATTGGCTCTAATCAATCTTCTGAGCAGACTTGCCATTTCTCTGACCGTGTTCAGCCAGGGTCCTCCAAGAAGAAAGCGGGCCTTTCCCCTCAATGGGCAAAGGGCCAGCTTCCATTTCAAAATCTCTTAGAAAAAAAAAATCCAACAAGCCAAGAGCCTGTGTTTATTGAAGGTTGGTCTAAAAGTCTCTCACACTGAATGCCCCACCAGCACCCGAGCGCCTCTATTTTAGAAGGATGTAAAGGTTTAATCACCCTGGTGGGGATTTAGACCCAGAGACTTCAGAGAAATCTTATTATTTCTAACTGCAGGCAAAGAGTATTAAGGCTTCACTCTGCATCAGGGGCATGACATGTTCTATAAGTAATTTATCTTTAACAGGGGAAGGCCCTTACTAGAGTGTCTTAGAAACAGTGCCGTGATTGGGCCCTGGTTCCCTGTGCCCCCTTTCTCTTTCTCCTTGCGTCTCCTGCTTATTCTTTCTGTCCCCACCCTTTCCTGCCCAGTGTGTCCAGTGTCGAAATGCCTGCCTCACACATCCTCCCTTGAACATGGGGAGCCTCCCTTTAACCTGCTGGTCAGAGAGAGATAATAATGTTTTTGCAATAAATGACCTCATCCAGCAGCCTGATACAGGCCTATCGACTGCAGACTTCTGAATGGACCCTAAATGCAAAATGCATCCTCTCAAATAAGGAGCTGAGGGGAAGGGGAGGGTGTGCTCAGGGCTCCACAGATACTTTGCTCTTAGACATGAAGTGATTTAGGGCCATCCTCAACCCCACCCCCTGCCCTGTTGTACCTCCAGCGGCTGCTCCACCAAAGGCCTGTGGATCTAGGTGCACATCCACTCAGATGTTACTGTGCATATGGTTTCATTTGCATGGGACCCTCCCAAGCCCATGCCCTTGCTTAGCTCCTTGGGTCCTGCCTTTCTGGTGCTGAGGCAGGAGGACATCACAGGTGGGACTCTACTTATGGATTCATTATTTTTGTTGGGAACTATAGTTTGACTGATGGCGATCTAAATCCATGTGCTAATGAGCTTGGTTAAAACAGGCTCTGCGATCCTCTTTTAATCTAGCCTGTCTATCTGATTTTCTTTCCACAGTTAATGATCTCCTATAATGGCTTTGCCTTTAGTTTTGGCTCGTGGGTCAAACAAATCAATAGTCCACACAGATATTTAAAAACCATCAGTGTAAAGCTCCTGGGTCCCCTCCCCCCACTTTTTTTCCCTTCTGGGTGAACTTATGGCTTGATCAGTACAATGATGTTTTCCCTACATCTCTTTTCTCCCAGAGATGGGCAGCAGTGGGCCCCTTCCTGTTGCAGAAGGTGACAAGAGGAAAAAGAAGAAGCGGAAGGCCCGGGCCACTGACTGCTTGCCAGGGAAGTTTGAAGGTTGGTCACACAACTCAGATTCGGGCCTGTGACTCTACCATATGGCATTCTGGTAGCCCATGGATCTAGGTTAGAGCATGCATCATGTGAGAGCTGGCTCCTGCTTATCTGTGCAGTAGGGATGAAAAATGGGATGGCAGAGCTCTCTCGGATGGTGTACTCTGAATGCTTTCAGCACTTCATCAGGGGACGGGACGATCAACCTGTCAGACTTGTATACGGAGTGAGATGACCTGGTGTGTTTCAGCCCTTTTCTGATGTGATCTTTACCCCAGCTTGTTCCTCAGGGGTTTGCTGAGAGGTAGAACAACCATGTAAGAGGACGAGAGAACACCTAGGGCCACAGCTCCAGATGAAAGTTAAATCTTCGATTGGGGCGCCTGGGTGGCTTAGTCGTTTAAGCGTCCAACTTTCGCTTAGGTCATGATCTCGCGGTTCGTGGGTTCGAGCCCCGCGTCGGGCTCTGTGCTGACTGCCAGCTCAGAGCCTGGAGCCTATTTCGGAGTCTGTGTCTCCCTCTCTCTCTGACACTCCCCTGCTCACGCTCTCTCTCTCTCTCCCTCTCCTAGAAATAAATAAAAATATTAAAAAAAAAAAAAGTTAAATCTTCGATAAGCAGAGGGTGTGACTTCTAGCGATTGCAGCTACTTGGGCTGGATGAGTTTGACTCCATCTTAAGAGTTCATGCCATGTTCAGGGGACCTGACGTTGGGTCATCAAAGATTTTGCTTGTGAGGCACAGACTCAATGCTGGCCCTGTTATCGCTGGACCTGTGATGGGATGAAGTGAATCACTGAACACTTCTGCAAGGGACTGAATGGAGTGACACCCCCTCCCTTCATTTATTGTGTTTCTTTCATCGTGAGACCTGAAATAGCTTCACCTCATGGGCCCTCTTTCCAATGTTGCAGATGCTCTGGTGAATTGATTGTTTTGTACAGTGACTCTAATAATAGGCCCTTTTATGGGTCAGGAATATTTGGACTTCCAACCACCACCTATCCTGACATGCATGAAAGGCTAATGCCAAAGTATCCATTGGGAGAGAAGCATGTTATTTAAAATACTTACAAACAGCAGTGTGCATGCTTATAAGTAGTCACAAGACCAAACTGTGATGGACCCAGGAAGGTACTTACTGTACGGTTTGTCTTTAACTTAAAGAGCAGACATATGTGTATAGGAGGGGCACGGGGATGGATAAAAGCCTCAAGGTTTTTAGAAAAATTTCCAAATCAACAGATCTTACCCTTTCGGTAAACATGAGAGTATTTCCTGTTATTTGAGGACGGCTTGTGCAATTATAGGCTTCTCATGCTAAGAGTGATAAAATCTAATTTCATGGTTTAGAAGTGTTCTGCTCACCTTGTGGGTTTAAATGCTAGGCTGCCTTGAGAGGAGAAAAAACCTGAAGAATGGAGGTCAAGGGAGGAGGAGGTCAGCTCAGCAGAGGCCACGATGGAGCTGTGGCTTCCTTAGGAAGGGGCTCAGAAAGTTTGTGCTATTTGTGAGCCTGGGCAGGTTACCTGTATGTTCTTTCAACCCAGGCCTATTCCTCTGCTAGAACCGCCCTGACTCAGCACCCTAAAAACCTCGAGGCATCTGTTTGCATCCTACTTCTGTATCCTGTTTCCTGTGGGTGATTTCCGGAAACTTCTCAGAAACCTCCAGTGACTTCTGTGTGTGGTGTGAAATAAAACAGTGCTTTATTTCCCTTTGTATCACCAGTGCCTAGCACAGAGCTAGGCACAGAGCAGGTGCTCAACAAATGAGTAAAGGAATGAATGATGTCCATTCGAATCACACTCCTTCTATCAGGATCCCCCGGTTTCCCTAAACAGATTTAACCTTTCCCTCCCCTTGTTCTTTTTCACTGTGTCTTGTCCCTTTATAATAGTACTTACCACTGCCTGGTTTATTCTGGGGTCATTTGTTTATATGACTGTCTTCCCCACTGGACTGTGACCCTCAAAGGGCAGGGACTATTTGTCACTCTGTCCCTACTATGAGTTTAATATGTCATCTGGCACACAGTAGATGCTCAGAAGGTGTGAGCTGCTTTCACTGAGCTCATCTCTAAAATGAGGAACAGGATGCCTTCGATGTGGTCTGGTTGTTGAGAAACTGAGTCCTAAGAGAACGGGACAACTAAGGGTCTTCCTCGTCACTGAGTGCTGCGGAGCCATCATGTGTGCCTAGGCTGACACACAGGGAAAGCGGAGTGGCAGAAGCCCTTCTTTCCATCTTTGCTTGGAAAGACATGACTCATCTCGTAATTCCTCTCCCCCATTTCACTTCTAGATATGTACAAGCTGACCTCTGAATTGCTTGGAGAGGGAGCCTATGCCAAAGTCCAAGGTGCCGTGAGCCTGCAGAATGGCAAAGAGTATGCTGTCAAAGTGAGTGTCTCATCAGGATGCCAGGCTTTACTTTACAAATAGGCGTCACTTGTCCTAGCCAAATAAATTTTATATTCTGCCATATGGCAACTCAATAAAAATGGGGGCTCCAAAGCTATACTCACTGGATTCAACTCTTGGTTTCTCGACTTACTTGCTGGGTAACATTGGGCAAGTTACTTAACACCCTGCCCTTCAGTTGCCTTATCTGTAAAATGGGCATAATAATAGAAACTATATAGTATTGATGTAGGGGTTGAATAAATATGTGTAAAGTGCTTAGAACAATGCCTGCCTAGTAGTAAGCTGCTTCTGATTATTCTGAAAAATAAAGTAAGGTTCAAGGAGTAGACAGCCAGATTTGGAATTAGAAGGCTTACCTGAATCTCTTTTTTTTTTTTTTAATTTTTTTTTTTAATGTTTTATTTATTTCTAGGAGAGAGAGAGAGAGAGACAGCGTGAGCAGGGGAGGGTCAGAGAGAGAGGGAGTCACAGACTGAAACAGGCTCCAGGCTCCGAGCTGGCAGTCAGCACAGAGCCCGACGCGGGGCTCGAACCCACGAACCGCGAGATCATGACCTAAGCGAAAGTCGGATGCTTAACCGACTAAGCCACCCAGGCGCCCCCTGAATCTCTTTTTTAACAAACTACTACTTGACTTCGGGCAAGTCACTGAACCTACTTAAACCTCAGTTTCCACATCTCTAAAATGAAGATAATACTGCCTTCCCTCCCTATCTCATGGAGTGGTTATTAGATGAAAAATAAAAATGAACTGGTAGACTTAGAGACCCTACAAATTATAAAATGCTGTAAAGTGATGTATAGTATAATAATGAGGACTGAGCACTCAGCTTTGGGGCGGGAAAGGTGGCTTCTTGCTGCATGACCTTGGGGAGGCTCACTCTGCCCCTCTGTGCCTCCATTTGCCGGCTCCACGTGGAAGAAGGATGGATCTGGAGCATTGATTCTCAAAGTGTGGTTCCTGCACCAATAGCGCATTCCATTGCCTGGAAACTTGTCGGAATTATAAATTATCTGGCTCCATCCCAGACCTACCAAGTCAGAAACTAGTGGACCCAGAAGTTTGATTTTAGCCAGTTCTCCAAGTGGTTCTGACTGTTGCTGAAGTTGGGGAAGCCCTTATGTAGGACCGTTTTACATTTAGTGTGGATCAGAATCATCTAGAGACTAATAGCACAGAGACCCAACTTTCTTGATAAAGGATAGGGTCTAGGGTTTTGTTTGTTTGTTTGTTTGTTTGTTTTTTACCAAGTTCCATAGGTGATTCTTATACCCACCAAAGTTTGGGAACTGCTGATCTAGAAACAAGGTCTCATTAAATCCAAGGGGGATTGGATTGAAGTGTATTTCACATCATCCACCTGAGCGCCCAGGTCAAAGCGCTGCCTCATACAAGCAAATCCAGCCAAAGTGGCTCCTGAAAGAAGTGTTTCTTCTTTTAACCAACTGACTATAGTCCCAGCTGTGGATTAATGAAGGCGAACACTTCTGCTAAGCCACAGTCCTTTTTGCTGGAGTGTTGCTTCATATAGTAACAAAAGTATTAACTGGAATTCCTTTTTGGAAACATCAGTATAAATTACAAGCAATTTTTTAAAAATATGCTTAAGTGTGGCAATAAATCACAAACACAAATTGATTTTCAGAAGTTTGGGGATATTAATGCATCCATCCAGACCTATTTCTAAAGGGTTGGATCATGAGAGGGAAACCTGGCCCTCTGTGCCCGCCCCCCTCATCTTTGGTGCGAACACAGGACCCTAGCTTGGTAATTCTCTGTATTGAGCAGTTTAACCCACATCTCCTATCGCTCCTGTCCTTTGGAAGCTCCCTAGAGATGTGCTACTTCTACCAGCATGGCCCCACAACATTAATTTTATTAGGGCTTCCCTACAGGCATCTGACTGACGCATCCTAGAGTCTCAGGATTGGAATGGAGTTTCAGGATAATCTGGTCCTGAATTTCTTCCATAACTCCTCAAATAGTTGCCCGTGTTCTGCTCCCCCACCTCTGATAGCAGGAGCCCATCACCTCTGCAGAAAAAGTCATGCCATTGCTGAATAACTTGCCTACTACAAGGTTCTTTCTGACTTTGATGTGAAATGCTAGGTGAGTGAACGAGTTGAATAGCTTCTGTGCCCCGGCACTGCACCTCTCTGACTACTTAGAATTGGGCCCACAGTGGTTTACTAACAGACATTGACTTGTATAGAAAATTACACCTGGTCGTGGGTGTTTGTGCTACAGCATATAGGAGTGGTTTGGATATAGCAGACTGGGAATGAAGGAACAAGTTGTTGTTGTCTGCACCGTGCCCACTCCACACGTGGGGCTGTAAAGTAGAGCTGGCTCTGCGGAGGACTTGCCCCCAGGCTTGGCTCGTGGTGGGCTGGGGCTCGGGATGGATCCACGGACATGTTTGGAGCTAAGCAGTCCCTCCCTGCTTAAACCACCTGCTCCTCTGTTGCTACCCACGCCTTCAGTTCGTATTTGCCAGGTACAGGCAGGGATAGGATAGCAAGGGCTTTGGAGGCAGCCCTGGGCTGGAATGCCAACCCTGTCACCACTTACCAGAGCTGTGGGCAGAATGTTTGACCTCTTCCTGTCTTTTGGGATTGTGTTGTAAAAATTAACCATGGACCTGAGGGTCTTAATGCAGCGCCTGCCAAAGGACAGGTTCTCCACAGAAGTGCAGAGGTGGGGTCTGAGCTGGGCCTTGGAACTTTAGTCCTTCTCCACTGTGTCCTCTGTCCCCCTTGCTCTTCCTTCAACCCTTCCACTGAGATCCTTCAGTGGAAGTTGTAAATCTTACACTTAAGGCAGGAAGAGATGCCCTTGGGGTAGGGGCTGGACAGAGGTAGCTCTTTATCCTATGGCCAGCTGCTTCAGTCTCCCCTGGGCAGCTGGGGCAACCACCCCATAGCTTCCACGGTGTTTGCCTGGCCAGAATCAAACAGGCCCAGCCAGGCTAGAAATCCCTCAGGCCAGTCTGTCGTGTTGCCCGCAGAGTCACAGCGCCTGTGTCACCAAGGGCCTACTCCAGGCTTGCGCTTGAAACTGGCTGTAGGCAGAATTGGGCCTTGTGTTCTCCCAGAGGGGTCCTGCTGAGAGGTGTTTCGAGGTCAGGTGAATATGACAGATTTTATTCTTCCCACAGATCATCGAAAAACAAGCAGGGCACAGTCGGAGTAGGGTATTTCGAGAGGTGGAGACACTCTATCAGTGTCAAGGAAACAAGTGAGTACAGTCTTGGGTTACTTGCTGCTTCTATTGGGGGGATGCTTAGCTGCAGAAAAGGTTCTTTCTCACCACCTCCCGACCCTAGCATTTAGCTCTCATGCCTTGGCCACAACTGCACAGGATTCTTTCTGTCTTTCCGTGTTTAAAGAGAGAGAGCGGGAACAGAAGCAGTAGTGGCCTTTGCTTCTGTTCAGGCTGAAATACTATAAATAACAATACAGGCAAGTTGGAAGAGTGAGCAATCTGAGGGACTGGGAGAACATTGGGGTTCTGTTTCTTTCAAGTGCCTGTGGGAACCAAGCAGACAGAGCTTGCAAGTTTAGGGGCCAGCTGTAATGACTAGGTGAGGATGGTGAGAGCGAGGACGAATGCTCGCTCTGTTCTGTTCCCAGCATACCTGTGCCTGTGCGGCAACTACTCAGGTCCCAGAGGCTGCTGGGCACTGTGCTGGGAAGCTGGGCCAAGGTGGGCTCCTGCCCCGCCTCAGCCTGCTCACCACCAGCTCCAAATGAGCGGCTCTCCCACGGTGGCTTTAAATCAGGGTCACCTCTAAGACTCTGCTTCCCACTCAGTCTCCCTGCACAGCAGGGTCAGCAGGGAGCCAGCGGCCAGGTATTGATGGCTTTGTCATTAAGCTTGGAGGGTAGGGGCTGCTGTTGATTTAACTCCAGGCGCTGCCTCCACAATCTTCTTTCAAATCAGGCCATTTCAGTCATCTTATTTGGACGCCTTCACACTAGTAAAAGCCTGGTGTCTCCCAAAGTGGTCAGCATTTTTTTATGAGGGACAGATTTTTATTTTCAGCCCTGCAGCTTCTGAGTTCAGCATTAGAGACTCTACTTGGTTTATTTCGTTCTTTAAAAGAAAAAAAAATCCCCAACACCTCCGATATCCAGGCTGGTGGCTTCCCTCCTGAGTTACAAGACGACCTTGTTGGCAGAGCCCGGTAATGCGCAGGCAGACAGAGAGTGCTCACCGGGGAAGGCCACAAGTGCTGCCGTGGCAGGAAGGCGGCCGTTTCATTAAGCAGCGCTTAGCAGTTAGGGTCTAGCGGTGCCCACGTTAGGCCCCAAGTCTATTTGACAGATGTTTCCATTTTCTCCAGGCAATGTAAATACTGCCCCGTGATTTATGGGCAAGAGGGAGGGCAAGTAATTATTTGCTGCCTGCCTCCAGGACACACACCTACTATTCAGTGTTATTAGCCGCAATTGCTTCCAGTCGGCTGCAGATTTTATTCAGTTTAATGTGACCGGGACTTTTTTATAACTCTACCTAGTGGGTTTTAGGGTTGGGGTTTGACAGCACCGACTTGGTGAAAACACCAGAGACTGAACATTATGGAAAGATAAGGTGACCTGAGTCTTGCTAACACCACTGGCTACTTCTCAAACATGGGTCTTTAATAAGCATTCTGATATCAAGCTGATCTCTGCCCTGCTACAGGGCGTTGTGAATTTTTTTTCACTGTATATTTGTAAGTGGGCTTTAATATATAATACCATTTCCCTTCCCCCCCTTTCCTCCTATATTTTTTTCCTATTTAAGGAACATTTTGGAGCTGATTGAGTTCTTTGAAGATGACACGAGATTTTACTTGGTCTTTGAGAAATTGCAAGGAGGTACTTACTGTTGAGTATGTGTTTGGACTTCTGATTAAGACCCAGAGTGGTGATCATCCATCACGAATCCCAGAGACTTCTAAAATGAGTCAAGCTAATAAAAAGGATGAAGGACTTAAAACTGCCCTTGATTTGGGAGAAGGGAGGCCGGAGGGAAGGATGATAATTAGCATTTTGCAGAGCCTAGAATGTCACCTGTGTGGGCATTCTATAAATGCCTTCTGGTTTTAATAGCACTCATGTATAGATATATTTAGTTATCAATTTATCAATCCAGTGTTTTGACATGTTCTCTATTTAAATTAGTTATGAGGTTGAAGCTCTTACATACATTGTGAAGTCCAGAAAGGCTCATCAAAGGATTGGGGAAGGTCCCATGGCCTAGGACATAGACCCAGGATAGAGAGGAGGACTGAGAATCTGGATCCTTCAGATGGAAAGAAGCCACTCTTGACCATCACCACTACTGCCATCACCCACATACATAATCACTGGAATGTGTATCGAAGTTGCTTTCCTGATGTAGAGAAGAGGATAGAGAAACCCTTGCCCTCACCATCTCTTACCCAGCCCGAGGACAGATTTGCAGGGTGCAGGTTAGGGAGGCTATCTAGAGCTGAGTGGAGGACCACGTGGAGGGGGTTGGTGGTTAAGGAAGCATGCTTTAGAAACCAGTAAAGCCGAGTTTAAATATAGGCCCATCACTTACTAGCTGTGTGGCCTTGGACAAGTCACATAATCTTCCTAAACCTTTCTAAACAGTGTTCTCGTCTGTCAAATAGGGATAATGACAGCACCTACCTTTTTTGATAGCTCTGAAGATTAAATGAGATCATTCATGTGAAATGCTTTGCACAGTGCCCAATAGGCTCTAAGGAGTCCATAAATGTCAGCTATTAATATTATTAAAATAATTGGGTATATGAAGGCTATCTTAGAAGTAAGTAGCATGTCACCCTCTATCTTCCACTTTAACAAATTTGGAAACAAGAGACTCACTAGAGTAGAGCAAGCCTGAGACCTAGTCAGGAGCCAGTTTCCTGGGAATGTTCCCTAGAATGCTGGGATCCTTTCATTGTTTAATCCGTCAAGTGAAAGATCTTTCATCCCCTCTCCATGCCTAAAACCAGGGATAAGTAAACACGTGCCATTTGTAGGACACAGAGATGACACCTCCAGCTTCCAGTAGTGAGCGTAGACCACCGGGAGCCAGGCCATGTGCTCCTGCCTGTGCCGTTTGTTCACACCCCTGCCCTGCTCCACAGCACTGAGACGTTACATTGGAAATGCTAGGGGTCATCTGTAACCATATTGCTTAGAGTGCAACCCTACTGAGGCTAGACCCAGCGGGAAAAGAGATTGTGGTTGGGTCAGGGCCGACCATGGCTCCAGCAGTCAGACTACACATCTGGTTGAGGGGCTCTCTGCCCAGTTTCTCCAGCCAGGCTTACTAGGCTTACGTCCTGAGGCCTCCACTTAGTGGTGTCATCTTAGCAAGTGGCTTAGCCATTCTTGGCTTCAGGTTCCCTACCTGTAAAACGGGGATACCTATATTTTGTACATTTTATACAGTTGTGGTGAGGCTAAGATAATCTGTTTAAAGAGTATTAAATAGTGCCTGGCATGTAGTAACTACTCGATAAATGTTAGCCATTGCCAACAAAATAGTAACAATAATATTAATAATAAATAAGAAAATTCAGAGGGAAAGTACTTTTCCCCCTTTTTCTAGGCTTTCTAGGCCTCTATGTATCTGGTGAGGGTATGGAATTTCTGTTTAAAGACTTGTGCTCTCATTTGGATCTGAGATCAAATACAGAGGAGGAAAAGTTCCTGTGGAGAGGCCTCCAACCCTATGTAGATTCACTTTTAGTTCTTTCTCATTTCAGAAGCCAAATCTGCCCTGATGGCATTTTGGTCATTTAAATAGTTGTTTGCTGTTCCTTCTGCGCTCATCATGGGCAGGTGCAGAAGACAGCAATGCAGTTCTGTCCAGTTCTGTGCTCGTGTCCCCTCGCTGCCAGGCACCACACTGGGTACTGGACATTTAGTGATAAATAAGCCTCAGTCCCCACCCCAAACTTGTGAAAACTGGCCTCTGAGAAGTGATACTTCCTAAGGCCCAGAAAGGCATAACTATGTGTCTTCTCTGCCCCCCAGGCTCCATCCTGGCTCACATCCAGAAGCAGAAGCACTTCAATGAACGAGAAGCCAGCCGAGTGGTACGGGATGTGGCCACTGCCCTTGATTTCCTGCACACCAAAGGTAAACCAAGCCTCTGCCTCAGTGATTGGGTTGGGCCGGCCAGCCTCTGGGGACAGAGGGAGAGGAGCAGGCCAGGCGGAGAGCTGGGCCAGGAGCTGGTACAGCTGGCAGGCCCGCCCGTGACGGGGAGGGAGCAAACCAGGATGGCGCTAGGCTTCCGATGTGGATGGTGGGCAGATGTGGCACTACTGAGACGGGTAGGGGCCCAGGGGAAGGAGCAGGGAAGAAAAAGGAAATTTCATGTTGAACAAGATGTGTGAGTGTGTGGGCATGGATGCTCTCCTTTTCCTGTCCTAGTGAAGAAGGCAAGCCCCATCGTGACACTACTATTCCAGTATAAATATGTGGATGTTACTCTTTCTAGTCTTTAACATTTGTCACCTGCATCTCTCCAGAATCAGCACGAGAGTATGTATCTAGTTTTATATGTTGTTCGTAATAAATGGAAAATTCATTTTTCTACTAACATGGTTAAGTTTGAGGTGTCTGTTGAACCTCACAATGGTAAATCGCGGGTTGCTGTTGTCCAAATTACACTTCAGTTTACAGTCCCTCATCTAGGACTGATTATTTCAGAACTTTTATAGTGAATTAAATCTTTTTGCAAATTAAATGTTTTTGTATTTCCATAAATATGTTTGACTCTTACATTTTTTTAAATGTTTATTATTTTGAGAGAGAGAGAGAGAGAGAGAGCGAGGGAGGGAGGAAGGCAGAGAGAAAGGGAGAGAGAATCCCAAGCAGGCTCTGTTCTGTCAGTGCAGAGCCCAATGCAGGGCTTGAACTCATGAGCCGTGAGATCACGACCTGAGCCGAAACCAAGTTTTCAACACTTAACCGACTGAGCCACCCAGGCACTCTTGATTATTATATTTTTTAATTTTTTTTTTATGTTTTATTTATTTCTAGGAGAGAGAGAGAGAGACAGCATGAGCAGGGGAGGGTCAGAGAGAGAGGGAGTCACAGACTGAAACAGGCTCCAGGCTCTGAGCTGGCAGTCAGCACAGAGCCCGACGCGGGGCTCGAACCCACGAACCGCGAGATCATGACCTAAGCGAAAGTCGGACGCTTAACCGACTAGGCCACCCAGGCGCCCCAATTATTATATTTTTTAAATTTGCCTAACACCTATGCCATGGAAAAATGAACTCTGGCTTTACTTTTTACCAGCTATGTGCTCACTCAGTAATAATGCCGACCCACAGGGTGGGTGAGAAGAGAGAGAATTACATTATCAATAGTAGTTAACATTCACATAGTTAGTGTTAGGCGCTAACTCATGGAATTGTGTGCAACCTGTGTGTGTATTGTGTATGTATAACACAGTTGGAGTGTAGTGCCTGCCACCTAGTTAGGTAATGTTATCTCCTTCACCCTTAACCCTGCCAGACAGAAGCATTTTTATTCCTAATATTAATTCCCTTAAAATAAAGTGCTGTGTCTGGTGGGGGGTGTGGGCGGAACGAATAATCTGGGACTTAGTTCTGCTCCCTTCCTCTGTTGTGGATGTTGGCCAGCTACACTGGTTACGAGACACCACTTGCAGGCATGCTGGGCTCACAGAGCAGCACAGACCCAGTGGCATGTGTGCAGAAGTTCGGCCTCACTGGTCCCTCATTCACCTCACTTCCTCCCGTGGCTGAAGGGAGATCTCCATGCCGACAGCGCCCATGTTGGGCACCTGACTTGCACATGGGACAAAAGTTCCTAGAAGGGGCGTCTGCACTTTCCCCAGCATGATGAATAGCACTAGTTCTGCTTCTGAAAGCTGGGATGCATGTAGGTAACACCTGCTTGACAAAGATTTACAACTGTTCTCCAAGCTGCCTCTGTAGATTGCAAAACTGGGTCACGCTTTTTGCAAGATCCATACCTTAGAGGGGGGTAAAGGTGGTTTTATTATTTATTTATTTATTTATGTATTTATTAGAAGAATGCACTAAAGGGAACAGAGCTGGTGTGTCTTAGGGGTGCTGAAGTGCTTGTTAACATCTAGCTGGCCAGCTGCCCATGTGGCTTGAAGTTGGAGGGGATGAAAAACGATTTCCAGCTGAACTTGGCTGTTTTCTAAATAACTTCATGCTGGGAAGATGAATTGGGCAAGAATGGGTCAGCCCTGAAACAAGTTCCACACTTTTAAATACTGGACACACTGCAGCTTAACCTCTGGGAAATGAAGCAGAGCAGGTCGATGGCCGGTGTGCTCACAAAGGTGGGCCCATTATTACAGCATGGCGCTCAGTTCTCAGGCTGCGGGACGACTGGGCCATCAGCACCTATTTGGAGAGCAGGACTCCATGTGTGGCTCGCGATCCTTCTGTGGGAGCACTTGCTGTAATGGAAAATATCTTTCACTTTTAGTGCGGCAAGCTGTAGCCTGACTCAATTTGTACAGCCTGGACGGAGCTGCTCTGGGTTCTCATTCAATTAGGTGACTGATGAAGTTACTCAGCCTGCTGGAGCTCAGGTTTTCCCTCCCTCGTGAAGTGCCTTGGGTAGGCTGGGCCTCTGCCTTCTGCCAAGGAATCGGAGGGCTACCCTAGAACTTGGTCATCGAGGGAGTTTTAGGAAAGCAGATTCTGCTTTTCCTTCTTACTCCATGAATTCTCTGCTACTTTCCAGTACTTCTGGGCACTAGCTGTTTGGCTCTTGCTCAACCTTCCAGTCTTTCTGTCTCTGCTGTGCATTCTGCAGGAGGAAAGGGGGATGGAGATTTCTGTGTCCGCCGTGGCCCTATGAGTTGTTCTTTGTCCCTGTCTTCGGTCAGAAGGTGGTTTTCCCCCAGGTGCCCTCTTGGCCAGGTCAGCAGCCTTGAGCCCCTTATGGAGTAAGCTGCTATCTGCAGTCTCCCTCGGGAGGTCAGGTCAAAATGCAGGGCAGGTGTCTCTTAAGAACAGCACCTTTGGCCAAAGTGGTCCTTGCTGTGCTTCTAGCACGACTGTCTTGGACTTGCAGAGCAGGTGAGAAGGGGATCAGACAAGCTTTGGAAGATGTGTTAACTAACACTTGGTGCTCTGACCATTCAGGGAGTCCCACTTAGGGAATCATTTTTGATATAAATCAGCCACCCAAGAAGACATGAGGTAGAGCAGCCTCAGCCTCCCCAGATGCTCTTAAACAAGGCACTAATTATTTCTGCATTGCTGTCCCAGCATGGCCATTTGCAGGGCTCTTTGCTCTGCTTCATATTAGCTTCTTATTCTTGGTCGTCCCTGCAGTGCTGCGGGGTAGGCTGGCTGGGGCTTGTTCAGCCCGTCTTACTCCTGCCAGACTTCTAAAGCTTCGGCTTCGAAAGAGCTTGCAGAATCAACTATGCTTTTGGTTTGTCTCTGGTTACTCCTGCCTCCTGCAGCTCGTTGATTTTTTAATGTACCATAATTGGGAATTAATCTGCGAACAACAGCATTTGGAAAAAATTAATTGTGTGTGGAATGTTTGATAATTATGTGCATATATTAACCATTTCTTTGCTCTTTGTCATTCCAGGCATCGCTCACCGAGATCTGAAGCCAGAAAATATATTGTGTGAGTCTCCAGAAAAGGTACAAAGGGCTGACTTGGGAGATTACAGCTTACACTCATGTGGGGAAGCCACTTCCACTTTCTGTTGGGTCGTTAGCAGTAGCAGTTCTGTCGGCATCAGGTACCAACCTGAGCTAGCTGATTTTTATAAACACGTGAGAATGTTATACCTAATGTGTGGCGTTTCCGCCTTCCCAGTTGGCTTCATCCCTGGCTCTTCCTTGCTCTTTATGAATAGTGTGATTGGCTTAAGCCTGAAAGTTTATAAAATACATGAGACGTGCACAAAATGAATGTTTTCTAGCCAGTGCACCTGTCTTTAGAACAGTGTGAGTCATAAACAACAACTCAATCTTCTGTGAAGCAAATCTCTGTCTAAAAATGGTGTTTATGTTATGGTACACATGCCAGCTAGTGTCCACTACTTGAAGTGGTAATTAGGAAGCAAGTTCTTAAAAAAAGTTTCTGTTTCCATTTTTATTTCCAGAGGTGCCTATTAATAAGAAAACACTTATATCTGATGTTGAACAGATGCAACGTACTTTATTTATTTATTTATTTATTTATTTATTTTACAAATAGTTTATTGTCAAATTAGTTTCCACATTAACACCCAGTGCTCATCCCCACAAGTGCCCTCCTCCATGCCCCTCCCCCCTCCCCCCACATCCATCAGTCCTCAGTTTTTGTCAGCATTCAAGAGTCTCTCATGGTTTGCCTCTCTCCCTTTCCCCCACCATTTCCCCCCTTCTTCTCCCCCTTGTTCCTCAGTTAAGTTCCTCTTAATCCTCCTACACAAGATACAACGTACTTTAAACTTTACCTTAACCTACTAGCAAATAGAAGTGTTTGCCCTTTGTAAGCATGTATGAATTTGACAAATTCTGTGTTTGTTTGGAGGGATCGAGGCCCTGGTTTTGATGGCACACATTCCTAGCTCTGTGTGTGTGTAAGAGTGCATATGTATGAACACAGATACTGGTCTGAGTGAAGAGATAGCTCATAAATAGGAATGGCTTCGAGTGAATGTGGGAGGCAGCCTGCCACTTAACAGTTTGTGGGGAATAGTAATACATTAGCTCAGATAAGATCTTGTGACTTCCTGTCAGCGGCTCTGGCAGAAGACTTTATAATTTGTCACTATTATCATTATGATTATTAATAATAACCATAGCTAACATTTCTTGAGTGCTTACATTGTGCCTGGCACTTATACTCATCTGATAAATAGTATAGATTAAAACTAAGGGGTCTCACCCTAGAACTCAGGCATTCTGAACCACTCTGTTGCTTCTGGTTTACAATATGCTTTCATTCTTTTGTTCTTTCATTTGATCTTAATAGCTCAGGATTGTTGCCCCTTTTCTGTGTTTGAAAACTAAAACTGAGAGCAACTGAGCATCAAAAGACATTATCAAGGAAATGAAATGATAAGCCATAGAATGGTAGAGAATATTTGCAAATAATGTATCTGATAAGAGTTTAATAGCCAAAATGTATAAAGAACTTCTAAATCTCAACATCAAAAAGACAGCTCAAGCTTAAAAATAGTCAAAGGACTTGAATAGACATTTCTCCCCCCAAAAAGTATACAGATGGCCATTATACATATGAAAAGGTGCTCAGCATCCTTAGTCATTAGGGAAATGCTAATTGAAACCACAATTAGATACCACCTCACAGCTACTAGGATGGTTAGAATTTTTAAAAAAAGGGGGAAAAAACACAGAAAATAACATGATGATAAGGCTGTGGAGAAATTGGAACCCTCATATACTACTGGTAGGAATGTAAAATAGTGCTGCTACATCGAAAACAGCCTGGCAGTTCCTCAAAAAGCTAAACACAGAATTACCACACCACCCAGCAATTCCACACCTATGTATAATACCCAAAAGAATTGAAAACAGAGGCTTGAACTTGAACATCAATGTTCATTGGAACTTTATTCACAATAGCCAACAGCTGGAAACAACCCAAGTGTCCATCAACAACAGGTAAATGGATTAACAAAATGTGGCTTGTCCATACAATGGACTATTGTTCGGCCCTGCAACAGAATGAAGTTCCAATCCATGCCACATCATGGATGAACGCTGAAAACAGTATGCTAAGTGAAATAAGCCAGACACAAAAAGACAGATACTGTGTGATTCTACTTACATGAAATATCTGAAATAGCCAAATTCAGAGACAGAAAGTAGATTAGACATTACTGAGGAGAGGGGGACCTATCGAATGGTTTCTGTTTGGGATGATGGAAAAGTTTTGGAAACAGACACTGGTGATGGTTGCACAGCAGCATGAATGTAATTAGTGCCTGGGTTATTTTATGTTCTGTATATATTTACCACCACCACAGCAAAAACAGAGAGGCTAAGTGAAAAAGAAAAGAAAATATAAGACAGAGAAGGAGGAGGAAGGGAAGGGAACAGGAAGAAAGCAAGGGGGGAAGGGAGGTTGAGAGACTGTCCTGGCTTCCGCAGCAGGTTAAATGGCTGAGCTGGGACTCTCACAACCAGCATTTTGGAGCGGCTCCCTGGGCTGCCTCCACCACGCAGGCCATTCTCCTTGCACACAAAGTGCCCTGGTGGACTCCAGAGATGACTGATGCTGTCTGTGTTTTCAGGGGCAACATCCAGTATGGATGACCCGCCATCCCAGCCTGCGGGCTTTCCCAGGAAACATGCTTTCGGTACTCAAACCAGCAGAATCCCAAGCAAGCAAAGACAAGTTGGTCACCCTAAGCCACTGGAGGTCATGCCCTCCACTGAATGGGCCACAAGGAGTCTTACAGGAATATATACTTCTCAGATTCTGCAACCTATACCATCTTTTGTCATTTGTCATTTGTGGGCAAGACTTCCATAGGTTTCCTACTTGTTTTACTAAGTGCACAGCAGTCTGACACCACGTAGTATGCACGTTTTCTCTTAGGAAGGGAGGAAAGGGTGTGGGGCCAGAGGGCACCTTAGGATAAATCCTCAGGTGACTTCTAGGTAACCCAAGGGCAGCAAACATGACATGACAGATAAAGCTGGGCTTCAGCATGGCAGCCATATATACAGAGAGAGAGAGAGAGAGAGAGAGGGCACCCCTGAGAGCAAGAGTGAGAGTGAGCCAGTGAGAGACCCCCACCTCCCACGTGAGGGGAGAGAGCGAGGGAGGGTGAGTGCCTTTGTCATAGTCACATTGGTCTCCTCCTGCCCTTGGGTTTCATATATTTGTAACCTCTGTTTCCTGCTTTCCTTTTCAGGTGTCTCCAGTGAAAATCTGTGACTTTGACTTGGGGAGTGGGGTGAAATTGAACAACTCCTGCACCCCCATAACCACACCAGAGCTGACCACTCCAGTATGTATGGCTGGGCACCCTGTACCACTTCCTTCGGGGCTCCTGTCATTTGGAGTACCCACAAGCCAAAGCTGGAGTGCAGAACAGGGGCTAAGGAAGGAAAACCAAGTGTATCTACATCACTGCCAGCTGCCTGAATTGTCATCTGGCCACTGCATAGTGAGCCCTCCCCCCCCCCCACCAGTGCTTAACTGCTGATGAAAGAGCTTGCAGCATGAGGTGGGTCCTCTGCCAATGACGGGACAAACTGTATCTATGAGAACAGGCTGAGCCCTGACTCCTGATCCAGGTAGAGACAGATGCTGTCCTAGACCAGCTTTTTGCATGTGAGCACATGATAGCTCTGAGTTCTGCTGTGTCCTGCAGCATCTGGGCACATCCCCCCGTGATGGAGGACAGGAGTGTGGTCTTACTGTGGCAGGAACTGAGAGGCCCTGGCTCCCTGCATGTAGGATCACTTGGCTGAGGTATCCTGCTGCTTCCTTCACTTCACATTTCATGCCGGATGTGCAGCTGGGAGCTGTTCTTCCTAAGATCCTCTTGCACACACCCAATGTACTACAATTATTGTGAGGCTTTTGAGATTTGCATGCTTCATCAGTGAATTTTCCTAATACCCTTTTTTAAGACATGCATTTCAGTATGCTCATGTCTTATTCTAATCAACATTATTAGAAATGTTTCCATATTAGCTTCTACAACACTGAGCTACCTTGTTCTCAAAGTCATTAGCTCTAATTGCCAATAACAGAAAGTCCTTTCTCCATTTCCCATCTTCCCATCTAATTAGTCATGTGTGTTGGAGGCCAGGGAGGTATCTCTTGGCACCCTGAAATAATGAAGAAGGGAGCAAAAAGAATTGTTTTGTTTTTATAAGTCTTTTCCGTGCAAGGATGGGAGGAAGGAATCCTGAATTTTTGCACTTGGTTACCACTGATGTGCTTGAACCAAATCCCTGCCCCATCCTAGTCCTTGGTGTTCCCGTCTATAAATGGGAGAAGCAGGGAGGTTGGATTTGTTCCAAGAGCTGTCCCAGCTTTGATGAACTCTTAATTCTAAAGTCTTACCCCTCCTTGGTCTAAGACGACAGAGAAGGTTAGCAGGGCTTCGCTTGAAGAACTCATTGCCTTATGGGATTACATGTCCACAGACCCCCTCCCAGAGCCATGCCCTTGGTACATCGAAGTGCCAGTATATTAGGTGACTGTCTGCAGAGAGCTGAGGCAGAGGGACTCCTGCAGCCTCTGCCTCCTGGAGAAGGACCTGAAAAGATAAGAAGGGGACCTGGAACTAGCCGTGTGATCGTGGGGAATGCTAGGACTCCATTTACAAATGTTCAGGTGGCTCAGCTTTTCTAAGTGCCTCGGTGCTCTGCAACCCCATCCTCTTACTCAAGTCCCATTACATTCTGCTCTTCGCCATCCCCTCCCCCGTGACTAAGCATCTCCCTTCTCTGCCCTTTCCCCTCCCCAACCTTGGCCCCCACAGTGTGGCTCTGCAGAATACATGGCCCCGGAGGTGGTGGAGGTCTTCAGGGACGAGGCCACTTTTTACGACAAGCGCTGTGACCTGTGGAGCCTGGGCGTGGTCCTCTACATCATGCTGAGTGGCTACCCCCCCTTCGTAGGTCACTGTGGGGCCGACTGTGGCTGGGACCGGGGAGAGGTCTGCAGGGTGTGCCAGGTGAGCCCAGCTCCGGGACCCTCTGCACCGGGGCTGCTGGGCGGGGGTCAGCGTGCTTGTGGGATGCCCAGCAGTACTGGGCTGGGGGTTGTTCCTGCTCTGGAAGGGGGTCTATAGTGCCCTTTTCCTCTTCTGTCCAAGGGCCAGCAACAGGGTGAGAGAGAGACAGAGGAGCACTCAGTCCAGCTGGGAGCTCAGGAGAGGATTGTTAGAGAAGAACGTACCTGAGCTGAGTCTTAAAACATGAGTCCAGCCCAGGAGAAGAGGGGCCAAAAACAGAAGCAGAAGCAGAAGCACCAGCAAAGACACGGAGGTGTGGGACAGCGGCACGTGTACAGGAAAGGAGGGTAGAAGTGTAAGGTTAGGGCCGAGGCGAGGTGAGACCTGACAGGTTGCGAGGAACCCATTTGTGGGGGCCCCATATGAAGGGCCAAGGAACTGGGGCTGTGTTCCCTAGTTGGTCTTCCCCAAGTGTCACCCACTCAGCCCACCAGGTAGCCTAGTCATCCGTGCCCACCAGGGGCATTCTGTGTGGCCTGATGATTTAGTGGGGATGGGGGAACCAGGAAGGGCCCTGGCCTGTGACATCGCCAAGCCCTGGGCAGCAGCTTCAGCTGAGGTCCATGGGACCCAGGTGACCTAATCAATGGCAGGCACATCCTGCTTATTCCCTGGTAGTGTGGCCTTAGGAGGAATCTTCTTTACCTAGAACAAGCTGTTTGAGAGCATCCAGGAAGGCAAGTATGAGTTTCCTGACAAGGACTGGGCACACATCTCCAGCGAGGCTAAAGACCTCATCTCCAAGCTCCTGGTTCGAGATGCAAAGCAGAGACTGAGTGCTGCCCAAGTTCTGCAGCACCCCTGGGTGCAGGGGGTGAGTAACCCAGGGCGGGGCGGTCACCCACCTCGGTGGCCTGTAGTGTGGCCATGAGGAAGCTTTATAGTAGCAGGTACTGGACAGCAGCCTGGGTGGCTGACTTCAGCTGGAGGGAGACCATATGGCAGCTTCAGTCCCTGCACATGTGGAGTGAACTGGCCACTGAAGGAACCGCTTAGGGGTCATAAACTTGGCTCTAATCTTGGCCTCAGATGAGGCTCCTAACTGACCTATGCCTCTCAGGAATGGACAGAGGCCTCTGAGGGATTTGGCTCATGCATCCCACCATTGGCAGAGGCACACAGTCTGGGAAGCAGTCCGATATTGGGCTTTGGGGTCTGTGGTACCCTCCCCATATGACACACATCATTAGCTGGGAATGCCCAGAAGCAGGGCCTCAGTGCCCTGCTCACCGTGAGGATGCAGTGAGGGCACCTAGGTTCTCCATGTGGTCCTGGAGTGCAGCTTGCCTAAAAGGCAAATGGTGGTGTTTTTCCCAAACTAAAGATCCAAATCTTTCCTAGAAAATTTATTTCTTTTAATGTGTATTTTTGAGAGAGCAGGGGAGGGACAGAGAAAGAGGGAGACAAAGGATCCGAAGGGAGCCCTGTGCTATCAGCAGACAGCCTGATGCAGAGCTGGAACTCACAAAACTATGAGATCATGACCTGAGCCAAAGTCAGACACTTAACCGACTAAGCCACCCAGCACCCCAACCAGGAAGCATTTTTAACCATCCTCCTCAGTCATGGTACTTGATGTCTGCCCCTCCAAGGGGTCGACCACACCTCCTGTGATTCACTGTGTCATTGGTCTGCCAGGCCCTACCCAGCCTCAGTGGCCCTGCCAGTGGAAGGGAGCAAACATTGCCAGCGCCCTGTTACAGGGAGACCCAATCCAAGAATCTCTGAGTGGCTAATTCCCAGGTACCCAAGAGGTGCTGTCCTTACTGGACACCTACCCATGCTGGACTCTGGCAGTCCTGGGATGCGTAAAACCCAATCCCTGTCTTCTTATTCTAGTGGAGAGAGGGAGACAAGGACTAAATGAGGTGTAGTGTAATGAATGTGTATCAGAAGGACAAGGGACGGGGAGGGAGGTGGCAGGGGTGGGAGTATAAATGCTTCCTTCACAAGGGAAGTGACCCTCAGGCTGGGTCTTGGAGGACGGTTAGGACTCTGCCAGGCACGGAGTGGCTCTCCACGCAAAGGCAGCTGGGTTCAAGCTGGGACTTTCTTGCTCTCTCCTTGGAAGGTCTGACCCCGCAGGTGAGTTCGGCCAAGTCTCTGTGCTGGGCCAGGAGCCTCTAATAACATACCCACCCTGTACTGGCATGGGCGGGGGCAGCTCTTGAAGGAGGGAGCAGTGCTTACCCCCGCGTCTGTCCTTCCCATTCTAGCAAGCTCCAGAAAGGGGACTCCCCACGCCGCGAATCCTCCAGAGGTAAATGCTCCAACCCCATGCCCTTTCTTTGGCTTGACTGTCCCTCAAACTTTCAGCCACATGGGATGGAGGTAGGGACAGGGAGCCCATCTCTAGGCTCAGGTATCCTCCTCCTGGAAGGGCTCCCCAGCCTGCCTTCTCTTCTGCCACCTGATGGCCTCCCCTGCCCTCCAGCTCCTTCAAGGCCCCTCTGCAGGAGAAAAACCTGTTTCCATATCCACTCTTGCATCCTAACTAGAAATCACCATTTACAGCCCAAAGACCTTCTCTGTGGGTTACTCACCCCAGGGTTTCCTGCTGCCACTATGGCTGTAGTAGCAGGATGGGGGCGCTGTAAGGCACTGGGATCGGTTGTCCTGTCACCACTAGACACGACGATAGGAATGGCCACTGGACAATAAATACATACCACATGCCAGATACGCTGCCAAGGGCTGTACAGGGATGCTATTCATAATCTGTATGATAAATTTAAAAGAGAGGTATACCTATTACTCCCATATTGTGGGTGAGAGAACCAAGAGTAGAGAGATTGCAGTAACTTACTCAGGGCCACACAGTAGCCTTGGGAGTTGGACTTTGAACCTGGATCTGTTGGACTCTAGTGCCTTTTAACACTAGGTCATGTTCCTAGTGAGCATTGCCCTATTGCCAAAGGACCAGGGCTCCCACATTGTGGGAACACCTCTAGGAACCAACCTCATGACAAGTTTCTGGGAGTCACACAGGGAGGTCTTACAACGCTGTAGTCTCCATTCATGTGAGCCAGAATGCTACCGCCCTGCTTGGGTCCCACCTGATTCTCTAGGGCTGTGTCCAGGGGCCTTGAGGCTCTAAACCTCTGGTCCACCTTAGAGGATGTATTTGGTAGGCCCACGGCGCCTGCTGAATACTAGCCTGGAGCTGGGCCCTGGGGACACAGACAGAGGCGCAGCCCCTGCTCTTGCTGCTCCCTGCTCTGACAGGGGAGAGGGGATATGTGGGTGTGCACTTTGTGTGCTGGGCCTTTCCTCTGGAAGAGCTGGGTGTGGAACTTGGGAGCTCGAGGAGGGTGCTCTGAATAGAAGGGGACATTTGTCCCAAGTCTGAGGTCTTAGGACTGTAGTTGAGGCTCAAAGCCATTCCAGCCTCAGTGAAATAAGATTCTGAACCTGGGCAAGAATGACTTCCGGGGGGGTGAGGGGTGGGCCGGGGGCAGCCCAGAAAAAGCTGCTGGGGGTCTGGGAGCCAGCCGGCCAGGGCACTGAGCCCCACTCCCCTCTGCTGTGTGCTGCCCGCCCCTCTAGAAATAGCACGATGGACCTGACACTCTTCGCAGCTGAGGCCATCGCCCTTAACCGCCAGCTTTCTCAGCACGAGGAAGACGAGCTGGCAGAGGAGTCCCTGGCTGAGGGCCTATGTTCTGTGAGGCTTTCTCCTCCGTGCAAGTCACGCCTGGCCCGACGGAGGGCCCTGGCCCAGGCAGGTCGCAGCGATGACCCGGAACCGTGTCCAACTCCCACTGCACTCTGACCCGCTCCAGCCACAGCCTCCAGGACCTCAGCCTGCCCGGGCTAGGCCAAAGTCTGCAGAGCCGGTAGAGGGAGCCGCTCTGTGGCTCCATCCAGGCCACCCAACCCCCCATTTCCCCAGAGTCCTCAAGGAAAAAGCTCTTTCCAAAGGGGTTGTCTTTGAAAAGGAAAGCAATCACTTGTCACTTTGCATAATCGCCTGAGGCAGGGACATCTCTCTGCTGGGCTCCTGCCCACCTGCTCACCCGCCTGCAGATCTAGGATGCAGCCTGCTCTCCTGGGTGGCAGGCGGCAGTGGCGGCTGGGGCTGCAGCCTTCAGGGAGCCAGCCTTGGGAAGCGTTGGTTGACAGAGGCTCTTTCTTCTCTCTGCACTGTCACCTCCTCCCCCCACCCCCCTGCTGGTCCTTCCACCTTCCTCTGTCCTCCGGATGTCCTCCCCTGGCTGAACAAAGCCATCCCGTCACTTCAGGAGAGGTCAGGGAGCCTTCTGTGTTCAGGAGGCCAGATCAGTCTTCCAGTCTGTAGCGCAGGAGAAACACATAATCTTTCTTTGCCGGGACCAAAACGTGTCCCTCATTTATCATCCTCTTCCTTGTTTGGGATTGCTGCTGAAGTCCATATTATTTCATTTAAAAACATGTTTTTTTTTAACCATGCACTTCCAGCAAAGATGGGACTTTCAACTCCCACTGCAAGCCCGTGGATTTTCCAGAGCATGTAATGGCTCGTTCTTCCTCAAATGTCCATGCATGTGAAAGGTTTTAATTGCTGTTTCCTATTATTCTCACTGGTTTTAAGCTGTTGAGACGATGCGTGCCTTAGATACTGTGTCTGCTGGAGGGCAGCATCAGACCAGGGCAGTTAGAAGGAGCTGTGCGCCCGATGTGGCCCCGGATCGGATGCGGCGCAGGTCCCAGCCATGTGCCTGCTGCCCCAGAGAGCATGAAGACACATTGGCGTCAGATAAGCTGGGCTGTGCAGCCACCTAGAGAAAATCGATTTGTACATGTCAGACAGACATTTACACAACACGACAATGCTATTATACATGTGCTTGTTTTAATAAAACTTGTAAATTTTAGCTGCGGCCTTCTTGATGGTCCTTTCCTCCCCTGTAAACCTGAGGAGTCAGGCCTCCCGGAGAGGGGCTGAGTCCAGCCCAGTGCGGGGAAGGCGCACCTAGTGGGACCTCTCAATCTAGCCCCTCATTGGACCCCCAACACAAGGTGAAGGAGATTTCACTGCTTTTCTTTTTTAGACGAGGAAATGAAGTTCATCAGCATTTGTCAATCTCCTTTTCTGTGCTCGGATCCAGAGATGAGTGGGAAGCAGCCTCTGCCCCCTAGGGTCTCGCCATTGGCAGAAGATGGTCAGCAACCATCACACAAGCCGTCTTCAAAAAGTATTTTATTAGATGTGCCCTGTGCCCAGGCCAGCACCCACGCAGGCAGGAACAAAGCCCTGTCTGTCTGGAGCAGCACTAAGCCTTTCTTCAGGATCTGTTTTGGGGTGTTGTGTGCCCAGGACTGTGCCAGACTTGGAACAAAGAAAAATGGCGCCTCAGCCACGGCTTTCATGTGCATCACGCACAGGGCTTTCCTGTGCTTTGTCCGGTGTCATCTTCAGAGCCACACTGGAGAGGGCAGGGGTGGGAAGGGGTTGGCAAGACGGAAGTCCGAGGATTGGGGCAGGGCACGAGGTGCTACTGGCAGCTTTTCTGCACAGGGGAGCAGAGACGGGTGATGGGATTGGGAGCTCCCCACTCTAGGGGCTCTCCTGCAGTGTGGGTGCCTCCATGTAGACACACTTTCTGTTGGCTGTCTTCCCTTCCCAGTAACTGTTAACGTGCTCACATCCTTTCTTCTACCTGGAGTGGGATGGGCTAGAGAGACAGGCCTGCAGAATCTGAGCCTTTGGGCCCAAAGTCTCCCAGTCCCTGGGGGCTTGGAGCCAGGGTATGAGTTTTGTCCCGACTCTAGCTCCAGCCCAGTCAGTCCTTTGGGTTGGCCAGCAGGGATGGGACTTCCAGGGGCTTCCTGGACCAAGTGCCCCCTACTCCCAGCTGTGAGCAGCACCAGCCGGCTCTGTCGTGCCTCCGTGCCTTTGCTCCGGCTGTGCCCTTGGCAAGCCTGCTTCCCCATCCCCGGTCCAACCGGCAAGGCCCCTCTTATCCTTCACGGCTCTGCTTAAATGCTACAGTGCTTACTTTGGTTTTGCTGGCATTATTGTGTGCTTACTAAGGAACAGCTGCTTGCGGAGAAAGTTCTTGGCCTTATTTAATTTTCATAGCAGTCATATCATTATGTTGCCCCACTTAGAACTGAGCAGAAAAAGGAAAAACTTACTTCGCTCTACAGGTAGGAAGACAGAAATGAAATTCTTCTGAGAGAGACTTGGGACCCAGAGCTGCACTGCCAGGGTTCAGATCCCAGCCCTGCTGCTTAACTAGCTTTGCGCCCTTGGCAAGTTACTGCCCTGGGTAGCAGTTTCTTTAGCCAAAATTGGGCTGCTTACCTCTTGGTGCCATTTTGAACTTGTGGATTAATAAATACAGCGTTAGAGCAGTTCAGGCACATACAGCAAGTATGCAGTAAAGGCTGGCTATGGTAGTTGTAGCTGTTTTCATTGCCATCCCCTGAGGCAGAATTACTCCACTCTGTGCCAGTGATGAAGACGAGCTTTCCCCCTTTCCTTGGCTTGTGTGGGTGGAGATGGATCTGGGCTTTCCAGATGGGTCTGGCTTCTAGCCCTTTGTGGGGTCTTCCTGCCGACAGGCTGCTCTGCCCCTCTGGGCTGGGGTCCCTGTCCCCAAGGGGCTGCTGTAGTGGCCAGGGCAGAGTCTGAGTTTGGGGATCTTGGGGGTCTTGTGTACTAGTCCTTTTGCCACTGTTCACTGGGTGACCTTGGGAAGTCCCTTGTCCTTTATGAGGCCCAGGCCACATGTCTGGCTCTGCTGGGCAAAGACATATGGCAGACACACTGAGGGAGGCTCTGGGGCCTTCAGCTAGGGCGGCCAGTCCCCTAGCTCTAGGGCTCAGGCTTGGACTGAGCCTTAGGAGAAAGATGGTCCCAGCCAGCCAGCATGTCCTAGACCTCAGGCCTCCTGCCTCAAACCTAGTTAGCAAGACTCCTATCTGACCTCTAGCTGGGGGCCTGGGCATAGGGGCCAAGTCTTTCTCCCTCTGGGATCTGGGGATCCACCTGCCTGAGCTCTGGGGCGCCCTCCTCCCTCCCAGCCCAATGCACCTGTTCCACAAACAGCAGTGCCCTGGTCCCGTGCCAACTCCAGCTGCTTAGGTCTGGAGGGGAGCCAGGAGCAAGGTACCCCCACGGCTGGCACTCTTGTTGCCATGGTAGCAGTTGCCTTGGAAGCCACTTCCCTGAGTTTAGCTTCTGAACAGTCTGGGAAAGCTGCCCGTCCTCCAGGGGATTGGTGCATTAATCACGCTCTTTTCCAGGGTCCTCACCCCTCAAGGAAAATAAACAGAACTAAACCACACTGACGCCTTTCGCCCACTCTTCCTTCCCACCCCAGGCCAGCCTTGGACTTGGTGCCTCTGGGAAGGAAAAAGCATAGGCAGGCACTCCAGCCCCAGCCTCGCCTAGAGACAAAGAGATGACCCGTGGCCTACCCACCCCCGGGGTTCAAAGGCCTGGAGGCCCCAGACTTCAGGAAGGAGGGCTCTGGTGCTGGGAGGGGGGGGGAGGGTGAGGGGTAGGGGACAGGTGGGGTGATTGGCCTCTAGTGACTTGGGTTTCCAACTCTACCTATCGTAGGAAGCACATCACCCAAGGACAAGCTTGTATTTCTTTTTCACAGATGAACCAGCCTATATTGAGGAAAGAATTGGCAAGCCTCCCTCTCCACATTTCTAATCAATGGAAGAGTGGGCATCACAAAGGCTTTAAGTACCTTTAATGACACTCCCCTGTCATGATGGCAAAGATGGAGGCCTTGACTGAACACTGTGCCTCCCTCTGATGGTGGGATTGCCAATTCCTCCCACCTCAAATAAGACAATTTAGAAACTGAGGGACAACGAAATGCTAGAGTACTTCTGAGCTGAACCGGGAATCTGGACACAGGGTTTGTCGAGGACTCTGGGGCAACCGTTCCTCTCCCCATGTCTCAGCCTCCCTACCTGTTCTATGAAGGAGCTTGCGGAGGTTTATAGTTCTGTGATCTTGTAACTGATAATGGCTTCATGGGTCTCTCCTCCATATTTCCTCTTCCGACTTTGTGCCCTGAGGAATTTACAATGTCAAAAAACAAAAAAACAAAAAAAAAAAACCACCCTCTAATTTAGCATTTGGTCTCCAATTTTTAGAGGTTGGAGTATTCTTCTGGAATATGAAATTCACAATGTGCAGGCCTCCCTGACTCCAGCCTCTGCCATCCCCCCATCCCCCTTCACCAGATGGGCAAAGTGAGGTTCAGGCGGTGGAGTGGCTGGCCCAAGTCCCACAGCATGAAGTGCCCTGTCTCGCTGACGGTGTGGGGGCCGCCATCAGCTTCATACCCTGCCCAACCCGAGTTATGCAAACACTTAATGGGGGTGAGGGCATTGAGATTCCCAAAGCTCAACATCTCAGAACACATTTTCATAGACAATTATTTTGACAGCTCCTTCTAAAACTAGTCAGTGGGGGGATCAATTATGTGTGACAGAGACATGGGCTGTCATTTGATGCCTAATTAGAGGAATAATCAGAACTCATCCTGGAGAGAGGCACAGAGAACATTGGCAGCAGCCGCTGTGGCTGGGGAATGCCCACCTCCAGGGGCTTCCTCTTCTGGGGCCCAGGGACACAGCCTGGGGCCCACTGGTGCTCTGCAGTCATTCCTCCTCTCTGTGAACCTTTGAGTTCACACCTGTTCTTGCCTCAGGCTTCTCTTCAGCCTCCTGACAGTGTCTCCCTTGGCAAAGCTCAGTCAGGGGACCCTGGCCTTCTCAGGCCCCCACCCCCATCCAAGGAAAGCGCTTTGTTAGAGGCAGAGGTGCCAGGGTGCCCGTAGCCTTCCTCTTTGCTGCCCTGAGGTGTTTGTGCAGGTCCAAGCCCTCCCTGAACTCCGCCTTGTGTTCAGAAGCCTCGCCCAGGTCCCTGATAGCCATGGCATTCTGTGGAGCTCACTCCCCGAGTCTGCCCTTGAGGAGCTTCTGGTCCACAGAGGAGACAGAGAATGAGGTCAGATGGTGGGCACTTCAGCATGGGGGACACAGGAGCAGTGGTAGGCAGCCCCCTCCCCCCACTCAGGCACCGTCAGGACGGACTTCACCCAGCTGGGGCTGGCCAAGCAGGGTCCTGCAGGACGGAGGCGCTCTCCCAACAGCTAGGCAGACATTCAGCAGAAGGGCGGCAGCAGAGAAGGGGAGGAGCGAGGGGCAGGGGGTAGCTGTGGAGGTGGAGAACCTTGGCCTGGCTCTGCTGGGTGGCAGACATAGTCAGGGAGACAGGCACACAAAGAGAGGCCAGTGGGGCCAGGGATGGGACCCTGGGACCTGCCCAGGTGCCTAGGGGCAGGCCCAGATCCTGGGATGGGGGAGGTCCTGATCCATAAAAGGCCAGAGAATGCAGTTAGTGGTGAGGGCTGTGTCTGGGTGGGCTAGGGCTGGGCTGGGCTACCAATGCCCAGCCTCTAACTGGTGGGTGCTGCAAGTAGGTCAGACAGGCAGGACAGAGGAGGTCGGGAGGCGCCAGCCATGTCCCAGTCTCCTGACCCTGGCTGCTGACACCCCACCGCTGCCAATCCTCTCCCTATGTTTATCTTCCTCCTACCTCACGCCCCCCACCTCTGCTTTTCCCTCTCAGCCCCCTGCTAGGGATCCTTCCCAGCCCACTGGCAACTAAAAGGGGGGCGAGTACCAAGCCTACCTGAGGAGAAGGAGGTCCCCTGAGATCAGCCTCAAACCAAGACCCCTCAGCCCTGCTCCCCCTAGGAGACCAGAGCTTGACAGGCTGGGGGGAGGGGCGCGGGGCGAGCATGAACCTTGTTCTCTCCTCCTGTCCCAGTCACTGTTCCGGCCTCTGAGCTTCCTCCAGGCCCCCTATGTGTCACACTTGTGCCTGTCTCCATGTCCCTGAGCAGAGGCCTCATGTGCCAAATGGCGGAAGACAGCAAGGGTGGGCCCTGAGCAGATAGCCGGGAGTCTCTTGACGTCCCTGGCCACTAAACCCCGCAGTCCACCCTGCCCCCTCAGGCGCCAGCCGTGGAACCTGGGCTGCCTGCCCGCGTGGGCCTCTGGGACAGGTGGCAGCTCACGTTGCAGCCTCATGAATAACTCAGGACCCCCCTGCGGCCCACTTCTCTGAGGAGCCCGTGTCCCCTGGACCAACCTCCCCCACTGCTTTAAACTTTAATAGGCCAAGGCCCAGTGGCAGCCACACAGGTTCCAGGGAGCTAGGGCGCGATGTCCTGGGCACGGGCGCTCAGGCTCAGCCCTCCCGAGAGGAAGCGCACAGGAGAGAACCCCGTACGGCAGGCCCTGCTCTCCAGAACTCTGGTGGCCAAGGCAGGATGTGGTCAGGCAGGAGCAACCTCCACATTCAGTGGCCTTTGGGGGAGGAAGAGTAGGCTGGGGTGACCTGGCAGGGATCCTAGGTCAAGGTGCGGCCGGGGGCCCCTTGGAGAGCTGTGGGATAGGGTTACCAGCCTCAAATCTTCCTCCCCAGAAACCCCTGCTCTGAAGGTGGAGCGTCAGCAAAGATACATCCAGGAGGACAGAGACCTCCAGGGCTCTCCCGGGGACAGGCCCCTCTGGCAGCAGACCCCTGGCTAGGCCTGCATGGACATCCCCATCAGCAGCAGAGACTTCCGCTGCCTGCAGCTGGCCTGTGTGGCCCTCGGCCTGGTGGCCGGCAGCATCATCATCGGTGTGTCCGTGTCCAAAGCTGCAGCTGCCGTGGGTGGCATCTTTATTGGCGCCGCCGGTCTGGGTGAGCAGGTGCTGGGCTTGGAAGGGGGAGCGGGGGCATGGTCAGGTGAATGAGAAATGGAGGGAATGGCTGGTTTCATAGGAATCGGTTGGGGAGTATAGAAGCTACAGAGACGTGAGCAAAGCAGCTGTCGGAGGTACAGGGAGGCAGGGAGGGCTGGAGTGAGGTTCCTTCTGCTGGGGGGAAGGAGACTGGGAGAAGGGAGCTGGACGTCAAACTCCTCTCTGGCCCTCTAGTCCCAAGCCCTGGGCTCCTGGGTTTGGGGTGGAATTCATAAGCCTGTTGAGGGTGGGTTGACAGGGGTCACGTAAAGGAGGACAGATGTCCCAGTGGGACACTCAGCCAAGAGAGGATCCAACTCAGAGGGTTTCCTTTTCTTTCCTGGTATTTCTTGGCAGGTCATCTGTCTGTCCAGGCATCTATCCACTCTCTATCTGAGCCAGTCCCACTGATATCCCCACAGTGCTGAGTACCATCCCTCCCCACTCCACCTCCTGGGCCAAAAGCAGAGCCAGAAGCACCAGACGGGTGGGTTCTTGGCCTCTGTACCTGCAAATTCTTGCCAAGGGTCACAGACATTTGGTCTGGGGATGAAATGGAGGTGGGCAGGGCAGGGTCCACTCTTCTGCTAAGCGCTCCCCAGGGCTGGGTGGGAAGAAGCACGCTAAGGAGCTCCCAGGCTCAGGGGAGGCAGGGGTATTGGAGTGTTGGTGGCGGTGATGTCAGCTGGGCCCACTTCCAGCCAGTTAGCACCTGGGCAGGCTAGAGCCAGGAACCTGGGCTTTCACAGCCTGTAACCCTTTCTCCAAAGAGGCACTACTCCCTGCCCCCTCTTAGGCCTGGGTGATGGGGAGCCGCCCCCCTAAACTCTCACAGGCTCACATTTGCGCACCCACAGTCCAACGTGCACACTCATGCTCCTTCCGTGCACATCCATGTCACCCTCATAAACCACCCCCGGGCTCACAGCCTACCCACAGCCTCATGCAGCCTGCACTAACCCGGCCCCTTCCCCATCACAGGACCCCTCTGTGTCTCTCTTCTCAGGGCTCGTCATCTTGGCCTACCCCTTTCTAAAGGCTCGGTTCAACCTGGACCACATCCTGCCTACCATAGGTGAGTCCTCTCCCCAGCCCCCAGCAGAGCCCTATTCCAAGGACTGTTGTGTGAGACCCATTGTGTGTGAATCTGTGGCCCACTGTGGGGCAAAACCCTGCCCATGTGTATGACTGATCCTGGCTGTGTGTGTGTGTGTGTGTGTGTGTGTGTGTGTGTGGTGTGTGTGTGGTGTGTGTGTGGTGTGTGTGTAGGTATAGGTGTGTGTGTGTGTGCTGGCATTGCCATGACCTCCAACAATGACCTCAGGACCCCTGTATAGCTCCTCAATTCATCTCAGCTGCCCACACACAGGCTACCGTCTCCATCAATCCTGGGGGGCTTTGCATATTCCTAGTTCTCCCCGCGACCTTCACCTCCTCAAAAAGTCCTCCATCTTCCCTTTCAAGGGCCCATTTCTCCCATCTCCACCCCCAAGCCAGCCCAGATCATGTGGGAGGCCTAAAGGAATGTGATGGAGTGAAGACAGCAGCGGGGATGGAGATGAGGCAACAGGCAGGTCTTCCCTTCCCAAAGCAGGACTTGATCTGAGAATGGCTTAGTAACCAGGGGGCCTGGGGTGGTCTTATTGTGCAGGGAGCCTGAGAATCCACCCCCATCCGGGGCCAGACCATGGGGAGGGAAGATCCAGCGCCAATGGCAATAAAGAGGGTAAGTTTTAAAAACTCCTGAGTCCATCTTCCACCTCTGCTCTCTGGCTGAGCAGCTCTGTGGGAGCCAGGGAGAAGCCTGGAGGGACATGCAGAAGGGGCGTCCCCAGTCACCAGGAGCCAGCAGAGTGTTCAGCCAAAACCCTTCTTGCTCGGGGCTGAGCTGGGCTCCTCTTGTTTGACCTCAGGGCTTCTCTGTTGTGCCCTACATGGGCACCCGGACAGACCCGTGGTCCCATGTCTCAGTTTACGTTTTTTCACTCTCTTCTCCCATGATGGAATCCAACTCTCAGAGCCAGTAACTGAAATGGAACAGCTTCCTCCTTCCCCATCTCCACACACTGGAAAATTCTAGGGCAGGAGTTTCTCAAAGATGGGCCTAGCCCACAGCATCTACTGCCAGTGCTGGGATGCCTAATCCCAGCAAAGGGCTCCCTTCCAGACCCTGCTCCAAACACTTTACATATATTAATGTGTTCCATTCTCAAAACAGCCACATGAGGGAGGTACTGTAATTAGGCCCACTTTATATATGGGGCAACTGAGGCACAGAGAGATTAAGTAAGGCAGCTAGGAAGTAGTGGAACCAGAACTGAAACCAGGCAGCCAGCCTCAAGTCCAGCCTCTAACCGCCCACCAACCCCCCCATGCTGCTGTCCTCTTGAAGAGCCAGTCTGACCATCCGTGCCTCTTTAAACTCAGCTGAAGCTGTCCCTGGGACTCCCCTCCCTCCCCACTGGCCCTCTGAGTTGCTCTGATCCGGAATCTGTCTACTCAGGCAGCCCTGTGCTTGTCTCTTGCCCAGGAGCCCGAAGCAGCCTGTCCACTGTGAGCAGAACACTGGAGAAGCTGAAGCCAGGGGGCCGGGGGACTGGGGAGGGCTGAGGCAGGGCTGAGGGGCTACCCCCTGCCCTCCCTCCCTCCCTCCCTGTCTGCCGGCTACCCTGATCTCAGAGCCCAAACCAGAGATGAACTGGGCCCTAGAGACACGAGACCTGCATTCGCCTGAGCAAAGCTCTTTGGAAATGGCTTCCATGTGGCAGAGAGCAGAGCCTGAAGCAAAGGTGTCATTGGAGGTTCCACAGGGGACCCTGGCCTCTGGCTTTTGACATGGATTTTCTCTCTGGACTGCAGCTCAGCATGCTTCCCGTTTTGATCTACTGACTGGTTTCTCTGGAATTTGGGGCCAGAGATACCTCAGACCCTTACTCCAGCCTGGCCACAGAAATAAACCACAGGGCCACAGGAACCACACACAGGATCCCTCAGCCTCTAAGGCCTGGTCCTGGGCCTCTGGAGCTCACCGGCCAGGCAGAAGAGCTGGAACAGATTCTTTGAAAAGAGATATCAAAAGCTTTGGGCCACTCCTCAAGGACAGGGTTTTAGCAGCAGCGAAACAGACAGGAGCATGTCCTAGAAAAAAACAAAATAGTCATGCCATGACAGGGACCCAGGAAAGGCAGTGACCTAGAGGCTTCCAGGAGGAGGTGGCTCCTGAACTGATCCCTGTCCTAAGACTCTTGTATGTGACTCCACTATCCAAGGCTTTTTGTGATCTGACCCCAGACAAGACCTCCAGCCTTCCCTCTGTCCCCCACCCTCTCACTGTGGCTGACAGTCTCAAATATTCCAGCCCCCAAGCTTTGGCCTGTGTTCTCCAGGAGGCCCCCTGCTTTCTCTGCCTATCCAAAGCCCTCACCTTGAAAGGCACAGCTCCAAGGATCCTCTTAACACAGCACCCTCCCCCCATCTTCCTGCAGCCTCCCTCGCTCTGCAGGGTCCAGGCAGACTGATGTCTTCTTTCTCACAAAACAATTATTAATCCTACTGAAACCTACTGTATGTTGCCCATTTCCGGTCACCATCAGGGTACACAGTAGGTGTTCAATCTATGTTAATGGCTTAAATTTTTAGCAGAAAAACAATTCCCCAATCTTTCCTTGGAGAGCCACGTCAAGGCCCCATGTACCCACGGGGCTTGGGGCAAGGAGGACCTGGCCCAGGTGTGTGTGGTTGTGCAGAAAACATTGCGCCTCCCTCCACACCACTCCTCACTCACCCACAGCCTCAAGGTGGAGCAGGTGTTTGACCTCTACAGAGACATCTGCCCCATGTGGCCACTGTCCTGGTTTGTGAGAAGAGGACAAGGTAGGAAGAGTCTCATTCTTCAAGGACCAGTGCAGATGACACCTCTTCTCAGAAGCCTCCCCTGACTGTGCTGTGCTCCCACAGCCCACATGACTCTGAGTGGTCCTTGTCCACTTCCTCCTCCCAAGCGCAGGGGCCGGAGGACCAGGCACACATGTACCCAGAGGATGTTGCAAAACCAAACCAAAAGTGGGAGAGACCAGTCCATTGTACAGATGGGAAAGCTGAGGCCCTTCAGAAAAAAGGACTCATCGAGTCCCGCGGTGACAGGTTGTGCAGCCAGACCTTGTACCCAGGCCTCCTCTGTCTCCCCACCCAAGGCCCTAGCCTCTGCTGTCCTCTGCATAGAGACCAACTCCCTGACCAGGGTGGGGCAGGCCTCCACTCCTAAATGCTGGCCAGTCGTGGACCCTGTGGTTCCTCTAGCCTGAGGGAAGTCCCCCTCCTGTACTTCCCTCCCCTCTACCTCCCTCCTGCCTGCTCACTGTCCCTTCTCCACTCCTTCAACATCGTTATCATCAACATAACAACATAACTTGGACCCAGTGGGCCCTCCTTGATCAATAAGGAAACCCTTCCTGCTGCCCATCTTTATGCCTTACCTGAAGCATCCCAGAAAGATGCCCAAGGGTGGAAAGGGTGGGAATGGGGGGAGTGGAACCTGGGCTCTGGGGAGGGTGGTACCCCTTGGCCGACAACCAGCCCTTCCCCAACATGATCTTCCCAAAGCAGGGCTATCGTATCTTCAATGCCTGGCACAGCCCAGCACAGAGTGGCGTGGGGATCAGAGCAGAATAAAGTAAGGAATGAACACATAAAAAGGCAAAGGCTGTGTCCATTGAGAAAGAACTAGGCAGAGATCCAAAGGACCCTTGAAACTGTGGGAGTCTTCAAGGTGGGGAACCCCAAGACCTCCCTCAGCCTAAGTGAATGTCCAGATACATCCTCCCAAGTGTATCTGCACACCAGTCCCCCCACCCCCTCAGCCTGGTCACGGGAGCGGTCCACTTGGAGCTCATGCCTTCTCCCCACCCATGCTTTGGAAGATGAATTTGGGCCAAGTAGGCAGGGTGGTGTGGTGGGTAGTGTTAGGGAGGAAGTGCCCTCTCCCCCTCTGAGCGGCTCCAGAACCCTCCAATATTGCAGTGAGAGTGGGTGTGGGCAGTGAGAGTGGGTGTGGGCAGTGAGAGTGGGTGTGGGCAGGCGCAGCTCATTGGACCCAGCTCTTCCAGTGGTCTGTTCAATAATGAAATCAGTTCCGTCCAACAGCCTTCAACTGTGGCTGTGTCTGGCTGGCCCCACAAGGTGGATCTAACGCTGGTCCTCCAGGAATAAAGGTGGAGGGTGCAGATCTGGACCCCTGATCTCACCTGCTGATTTGGGGGTTTAAGGAAAGCTTCCGGAGGGAAGTGACGTCCCATCTGCACTCTGAAGGTTGAGCTGGAGTTAGCCAGGTGAAGGGAAAGTCCGCCATGGGTCAGAGAAGGCACGGAAGTGGGGAGTGCTTGGTCCAGGCAGCCCCTTGGAAGCCACAGCCCTGCTGGCCAACCTGGAGAACTGACCAGGCTGGGGCTGGAGTCCAGGGAGACTCACATCCCACCTCTGCATCCACCACAAGTCCCGGGGCCGGGGTTCTGGGCAAGAGGCTGTGGGGTCCTTGCACCTCAGTTTCCTCATCTGCAGCCAGAGGATGAGTTAGCGCCGTCTTCTCAGGACCACCGTCAGGAGGAAGGTTGCCCCCATGTAGTTCACATCTGGAGGATTTATGAATGGATAAGCACATGAATGAAGGCGGAGGTTGGAGGAGATACTCTTCCAGATGAACTCCAGGTTCTGGAAATCAGCACCTCAAACTGCCACCCAGTCCTCCCTCCCCATCCTTCACCCCTCACTGGACCTCTTACAGATCCCATGGGACACGTGTGGCCTCCTACCAGGGGCTCGTGGCCACACCCACTTCTAGGGTGCGGGATTGGTGGGCGGTGTTCGGGGAAGGGTGGCTGAAAGCAAGCCCCGACCCGGGAGAAGTCTCAAGTCTCCCTGTCCCCACAACCCTCTCCCTCCCCCGCTCCCCACCCTCTAGGGAAGGTGGGGAATCCGTCAGGGGCTGCAGACGGAACCCACGCCACCTACGTCCCTCGCTCCAGACTGAGTGGCAACGTCTGCGTCCCGGCCCCGAAAGTCCGGGCTGGATGGAGACCGTGGGGGTGCTGGGAGCCCAGGGCAAGGTGCTAGAAACCGCGGAACGTAGAGGAGGGAAGGGGAGAGGGGCGGTGCGGAGAGGGAGAGGAGACGACACTCTGTGAGAACGCCGCTCCGCCCGGGAGCCCAGGGGCCCAGGGGCCGCTGCGACGCTGCGCAAGGGACGCCCCGAACCCGCCGCCCGGCTGCGCGCGCCTCCCCGCCCCCCGCCGCGAGGGGCGGGGCCTGTCTGGGGGCTGCGCTCCCCACCCAGACCCTCCCTGTCCCCGACCCTCCTGCTGGCCCGGAATGCTCAGAGAAACGTCAGACCTGCCGGCCCAGGCAAGTGAAAGCCCCACGAGTTGGGGGGAGGCTGGAGGGGGGGGGGTTGGAGGGGGGTCAAGGGAATGAGACCGGCGGGAGAGGGCGGCCAGGGAGGGGTGGTCTTTAGGGAATGGAGGCGATGCTCCACCAAGCCCGAAACCCCAGCAGAACCGAGTAGTACCCAGACAAGGAGTCAGGGACCTGTAGCCTGGGACAGACTTCCTAGAAAAGCGATGAGGAAGACAGGAAAACAGGAGAAGGGCACATGCAGCACAGAAGTAGCTGCCTTGGGCCCCCTCTGCCTGACCCTGATCTCTCCCCGCTCTATGTCTCAGTGAGAATCTCCCCTAGGACCTACCGTCACCCCCCACCCAGCTGACGGCTATTGTTCCCAAGGCCCAAAGTGAACAGGGAATCAGAGAGAAGTGGACATAGAGTCACTTCAAAACGAAGACACTGGTGAAGCCAGGAGACCCCTGCGACCAGTTTTGTTTAACCAATATTCCCTAGGCACCTGGGGACAGTCAGGCACTCCACTGGGGACTAGCAGCAAACAAGATGAGGATAATGCTGGTCCTCCAGGAAGAAAGTTGGAAGATGCAGACCTGGACACCCAATGACTTCCCAGCTGTACTCTGAAGGCTGAGCTGGACTTAGCCAGGTAAGGGAAAGTCCACTGTGTTTCAGGCAGAGGGAGTAGCATGTTCACTTGGCCACACCTGGTGAGTTCAGCTCCACTTGAGCAAAATCAAGGGGGCGGCCTGGAGGAAGCCAACCAGGATGGCAGCAGTGGGGAGCCCAGGAGGGATGCACCCATTAAGGAGAGATGGAGGAGGGGGATGAATATGGTAGAAGTGAGACAGAAGAGGAAGGGATGGATTGTAGAGACACTCAGAGGGAAGAATCTGCAAGGCCTGGTGATGGGTTGGGTTGGAAGAGTATGAAGGCAAGCCTGAAGGCGAAGGAAGAGCTAGGAGGAAGCCCAGGTTTCTGGCTGGGAGTCTGGGCTTTGTGGGAGAAGATGAAGTTGAAGGAGCCTGTTTCCAAGAAGAAACACTTTGAAGAAAGGAAGAGAGTTTTATATGGAGGCAGATGTGGGGCTGAAGGAGGTCTGGTTTTGTTTTGGGTCAGGACAGGCGTGAGTGCATCCACGAGGAGGTGCAGTCACAGTGAGGGGGGCTGATGAGCACTGATTGGGAGGGGGAGGTTGCCCCAGAGCCCTGAGGGCCTGA